GTGTTGCAAAAGAGTTTGATGATATTAATTTCAATAATAGTAATAGCGATAGAGATAATCCATTTGGTCATGATGTTAGGAAAAGAATTTTACTTTCAGTTTGAATTTAACGTGTTCCATAACACATGTGAACATGATTTGATCCCTAATAGTGAATGAGGTGGGCATTGCATTCTTCTGTTGATGCTAGTTGGGAATTACAAACAATTGGAGTTAAAACATACAAATCTATTGTTGTAAAAGATTCAATTGTTCATATGTCTAAAAAAAAAAAACTTAGATTGAAGTTGGATGTTTTTGCAAACTCTTCTAGATGTCTTCAAGATTTAGATTTGATTGTAATGGATTCTTTTGGTAACTCTATGAATGTTTCTTTAGTGCAAGAAGAACAATCAAATGTCTTTGGTGGGGAGATAAAGCAAACTGACAATTTAAGTAAGCTCTATTATGTTTTGTGTATTTTTTTCATTTGTGATTTAGTTGTTACTTTTTTCATTTGTCTGATATTTAAATTTTTTCCCTTTTTTGAAGGAACATGTTTTGAACCTTTTAACTTTGGTGGTCCGACATGTGTTTGTCCATTTTTTGATATTATTATTTGGTACGAGAAGAAGGTTGATATTTCAAAACAAATACGGAATCCTACATTTACACTTTGTTGCCAATAAGGAATTGTTTGGTTATCTCTTTTTAGAAAAACTCAACAATATTTAGATCAATTGCTTATTTATAATGGAATGTGTAGAAGTGTAAGTTTTAGAGAAAAAATTGTAGTGTATAATTCAGTGTTCTAATTTACTTCAACAATTGGTAAGGTTGATGATAGTGTCAATAAAAAAGCACAACTTTATATTTTAAGATTTCTGGATAGAACCATCATAGGTTTTTGCTTCTTTTTTCTGATCAAAATCCAAAGTTTGCTCAAATGTACATATACGATACTGACAATAAGATTTCAAATAGGATATCTATCCTTAATCAGTTGTACCTAAAATAACCTTTTGAAAGATTTTTATAACTTTTAATTAAACACCAAACATTTTCTATTTAGTTTTATATTAACCTTCTATTATTAAGTTTATAGTAAATTATTTTAGGTAAATAAAATACTACAAATTAATTTAACACACTGGGCGAAGCTGAGTTCATTCACTAGTTTGTATGATTTATTGGTGTGATTTATTATTTGCATGATAATTTATATACTTGCATGATTATTTTTATATTTGCATGATTATTGATTTGTTTGCATGTTATTTGCATGATTTATTACATGATAATTTTATGATTTAATGCATGATTTTTATTCTATGATATTTGCATGATATTTTTAAGAAGATATTTTTTTACATTAATTTCATTGGTATGAATCAGTAGTACTCTTTCTTATAATAACAGTGAAAGAATTCAACAGAATGAGAAAAATGAAAACAGTACAATCATTTGTGTGCTTATTAAAGTTCTTGCTCTTACTCGTTAGAGTAATTTATATATTTGCATAATAATTTATATATTTGTATGATAATTTATTACTTACATGATTATTTATTAATTGCATGCTTATTTGTATATTGCATAATTATTGATTTTTTTGCATGTTATTTGTATGTTTTATTACATAATGTTTTTATGATTTATTGCATGATTTTTTTATTATGTGATATTTGCATGATATTTTTGGTAAGATACATTTTACATGATTGTTTAATATTTTAGCATGATACTTTTACATTTTCGTTAACATCTTAGGCTGCAATGCATTATAAATAGCAGCTCAAACTCCATCTTCACCTTAATCTCTACTAGGTTCCACACTAACTTAATTTCTTATCCTCTTCTTGCAATCAATGGCAACTCAACCTCTACCACCGCCTCCACCTCAACTTCTACCAAATGATTCCACAATCACTTTACGATCCTTCATGGACGCTTACGAAAAGTTGGATGGAGATAATTTGAGAAGCTTGAAGAAAAGAATGCTATGGATGCATCTGCTAACGCATTAAAAAACTACGAAAGTATTGAGGTGGTTAATGTTGCTGAGATGGAAGCTTTCTGCAAGCTTAGAGATGACTATCAATTTGGAGGAAAGATGAGAATCTCCCCATTGGCTCTTGAGAACAAGAGACAGTCCTTAATTTGCATAGCCAATGAATATGGCATTCAGATTGAGAATGAATGAGAGCTTAATTGTAGGCAAGTACTTCTGCAAGCATGACAAGCTATTATTAATTCTATCTAGGTTGCAATAGGATGTCTTTTTTTTTTTTCATTGTTACCTGTTGTTTAGTTTATCATTATGTCGTTTATCAGTGTTTAGTTCATAGCTCCTTTATCAGTGTTTAATTCTATTAGTGTTTGTAGTGTGCTATTTAGTCAGAACGGTTATTAATGGAGTATGTTTTTAATATTTTCAAAATTTTTACTTTCATTGCATGATTAGAATTAATGGATTCCAACAACTCGTTGGAGAAATTAAAGTATTTTGAAGTCAAAAGTTAAAAAAAATAAAGCGTCTTTCTCAATAAATTGACGAGCTACAGGTTTTAGAAAAAGATGTATCTACTAATCTTGTCACCAAAGAAATCAATCAAAACCACCATAAGGCTTAATTTGTAATGAAAGTTTTGCCTCAAGAAGTAGAGGCATGTCCAGAGGGCAAAATCGAAGAATGTGGGTGTGTGAAGGACACAGGTTATGTCTGTATGGTTTAAAAAGAAGAAAAACATAACCAACAATTAGTTAGAAAAGATTGGGTTTTTCAGTGGTGGGCAGCTCCATGTTTTTCAGTAATATGGAAGACGGTTGCAGCCTTGCAAGTTTAATTGAAAGAGAAAAGATTTTTAATTTTTTTATTAGTATTGGGTTTAGGATTGATTATATTTATGTATTAAAGCTAGTGTACTGCTCTGACCCAAAAGAAATTTTAAAATGGACTACAACAAATTTCCCAAAGGGGTCCGTTTGAGCCTATAATCCAAACTTTTTTATTATTCTCCGGCTCTTCCAATTTTTTGTTTGGTTTACATAATTATATACGATTGTTCTCAAAACACAAGCCCAATTTTTTTTGTGCGTGTGAAATTTGCACTTGTCTATGAATATTATTTTAGGGAAAAAAAAGATTATTCGGCCGCCTTAGTATTTTTAGAATGTGCATTAAATCTTTTATTAATGGTTCAATCAAAGTACAAACCATAAAAAAATAAAAAAACAAAGTATATAAAGAACAAATTTAGAAATTGAGTCTCCTTTTGGATTGGCATTCCTAAACGCAGCATTGCACCGTCCAAGCCACCGACCCAAGGTTTCAAAACTAAACTATATATTGCAATCCCCATTCAAATATTATACGAGTCTTTAAAGTTTGAAACATTTAATTTAGAAACAAAATAATATCAAATAAGTGGTACATATAGTCTTGGCCCTTTTCACTTACAGAATTCTTGGTTTTGTGTTGGGAAGCATATGGTCATCAGAGTGTCTTGTTTGACCCCGCATGAGAAAGATATCAAGTTGAGAGCCACCGTGAGAGCAAAAGAAACTAATGCAATTTCTGCTAACCCCATTATATGAAATTTCAACTTTGAAGACACAAATTTACTGAAGGCATCAAGTTTATAAGATGAGGAAGAAAAGAATTTGTACAAGGCAAAAACACAGATCATATCTAAAATGATTCTGCAATTTGCTATCATGGAAGGTTATGAGTATATGATTCCTGGCCCATATGCGTTATCTATTTATATCCAAGTTGCAAAGCAACAGCCATTGAGATAAGCAGGCATGCCAGCTGGAAGCAAGTTTCAGCTGGTATTTTCTCCTCACTTATGCTATAGCATCCTCTCTAACAACCTGAAAAGAAAAAAAAACACAAATGAACCCTCCAAAACAAGTGATACAGAATGTTTCTACGTTGCTATGCTAAACTTAAGAAATATGGCAACAGCTATAGTTATGCATGATCGGAGTACAGTTAAAAAGTGATAAATCATCTTGTGAAAGTATATTTGGATGGTTGATAATATTAATTTTAATATCTAAAATTCATATAACAACCTAACTAATAATCATATCTGATTAACTATGATTCAAATAAATAATAAATCTTTACCTTCAATTTCATTCCGTTATACATTCGAGCATATGCTTTCAAATCCCTCCTCATTTGCACAGGAATTGAGTTGTGGAATCGAATACAGATTTTACCACAAACATGGAATTCCTGCGTATCAATGACTAATGAAAGCTGGAAAGTCAAGAAAGAAAAATGAAATATGATACATCTATAAATAGTAGTAAGCCAAATCTATAAAAGTTAAAAGTAAGTAATATATATGGTCTTGTATGAAGCCTGTTAGCCTCAAATTATGTACTGGACATCTGGGCCTTTTGTACAGAAAAAATTCTGAGCAGTGAACCAAACCTCAAATTATGTACTATGCATGCACATTGACATTAATGCATTAGGTTTGGTTCACTGCTCAGAATTTTTTCTGCACAAAAGGCCCAGATGTCCAGTACATAATTTGAGGCTAACAGGCTCCATACAAGACCATATATACTACTTACTTTTAACTTTTATAGATTTGGCTTACTACTATTTATAAATGTACCATATTTCATTTTTCTTTCTTGACTTTCCAGCTTTCATTAGTCATTGATACGCAGGAATTCCATGTTTGTGGTAAAATCTGTATTCGATTCCACAACTCAGTTCCTGTGCAAATGAGGAGGGATTTGAAAGCATATGCTCGAATGTATAACGGAATGAAATTGAAAGTAAAGATTTATTATTTATTTGAATCATAGTTAATCAGATATGATTATTAGTTAGGTTGTTATATGAATTTTAGATATTAAAATTAATATTATCAACCATCCAAATATACTTTCACAAGATGATTTATCACTTTTTAATTGTACTCCGATCATGCATAACTATAGCTGTTGCCATATTTCTTAAGTTTAGCATAGCAACGTAGAAACATTCTGTATCACTTGTTTTGGAGGGTTCATTTGTGTTTTTTTTTTCTTTTCAGGTTGTTAGAGAGGATGCTATAGCATAAGTGAGGAGAAAATACCAGCTGAAACTTGCTTCCAGCTGGCATGCCTGAATGCTCATGCATGCATGCATGCATGTATGTATGTATGTATGTATGTATGTATGTATGCATGTATGCATGCATGCATGCATGTATGTATGAACAGAGAAGTTGGAAGGAAAAGGACTTTGCAAAGTAACAGTAACAGGTATGTTCATCTTCTTTTCTTCTTTCAAGAATTTAGTTTGCTTAAGAAAATAGACAGGCACAATGGTCTCACTGTCACCTTGTCACTGATTTTTGTTAATTGCATATGTTTAGAAAATATGGGGATGTGATTTTAACAAATCAAAATTTTAAATAGTTGATAAAAGTTCAGGAACTAAGCATCTAAATCCATACTTAAACAGCAAACATACAAACACTTTAGCAAGTCTAGAGAAAGTCAGACCATGTTTTTAAACTCCCAAGCAACACCATTCAACAAAACATATCTACAAAGATGTTGAAGGGTTAGAGTGTCGTACCCGGGAAGCTGCAACCCATTTTCCATCAATCCAGTCCTGATGTAGCCTTAACTCAGAGTCATCAAACTTCATTTTCTCCTTGGTATTCTTAAAATAGACTTCATACTTTGAATCAGAAACAACCTTAGAAATCACACCCGCCCACCAGCCATCATTGTACAAAGCATCAACTTCATCAAGCTTTTCGAACCGATCAGCCACAACAACTTCTGGAGGATAAGGCCTAATGTGCAGGGTATCAAACTCTTCCTTTAAGAAATCAGTGTCAGCCTCATTTCTCAAGCACTCATACTGAATTAGGTACCTGTCCTTCCCCACAGCTTTAACAATAGTGGCAGCAAACCAAGCACCTTGGAAACCATTTTCACCACTGGTTACCTCAACATGTTCTCCCTCATTGAACTTTTTATCTGTTGTTATCTTGCCAGACTCCAATTTCTCTCCATTCCCTGCTTTGTCAGACTTTAATTTGCTTGCTGCATTGTCACACTTCAGCTTGTCTAGAGTAACAACTTTGTTAGACTTCACTTCTTTCTCTGTTTGTACTTTCTGTAGTTAAAAAGCGAAAAGATGAGGATGCAAACTACACAAGACACTAGAAACTATAACCTAGTAGGGAACAGAAAAGAACCATGTTACAGAGAATCATATCTTTTTGACCCATTTTTCTCAAAGGGTCTAACATCCTCCTTTTGCCTTCCATTCATTTTACAACTAATGGAAACTATTCAGAAGTATCCCCTTTTCCCAACCCCCAATCTAGAAACTTGAGCAACTAAATATATGCAGAGAGGGATAGGCCTAACTCCTCTCTTTAGTCAATTATGTAGCCATCAATTCTTACAAAGTACAAAGAAATAAGATAACAAATTACAACCAATTTTCAGGAACAAGTGCATATAATAACTTCCAAGTTTATACATTCCATCAGTAAAATATGTCTTCATCATGAAAACTGAGTAACAGTACCAGTTTTCTGAAACCAGGACTACTATCTAATAGTATATTTGTCAAAGTTTATATTCAATCCGTCAAACAGACAGCCTAATACTTCTATTATCCTTAATTCCTGATAAACAACAAAAGAAACGTATTTAAACAACATAAGACTGAAATAGATATAGAGAATTCACATAATAACACATATCAGTTTACAAAAATTCTAAATAAGTATACATTCCAAGAAACAAATCATAACTCTCAATTTCTTGCATTTTCTCTATCTTTCCCCTCCACTTCCCATTTCAACAACCAAACAGATTAAGAGGAAACCTAAATAAACAAGAATTACTAAAAAAAAAAACTCAAATGAAGAAAGAAAAGTGAAAAAAAAAATTATAAAGAAACAAGAAATACCCAAAAGAATTTACCTCCTCCACTTGCCCATCTTCTTCCAACGGTGGCGTCCAAGACCCATTAACCCACTGTCTATTAAGCCTCAACTGATCCTCACCAAACTCCAACTGCTCTTTTAACCTCTTAAAGTAAACATGAAACTTTCCGTTCTCCAACTCCTTAGTAATCACCCCTTCCCACCAACCGCTATTGTGAAAAGCATCCACCTCTTCACCGAACTTGAACTTTCTTGCTCTTTCTCGAGGGGCCAGAGGGCGTATATCCACAGCGTCGATGGTTTCCTTCAAGGGCTTAGTACCGGCCTCGTCTTGGAAAAGGAGGGTGTATTGGGCTAAGAACTTGTTAGGGTTTCTTGAAGAAGCGCGCTTGATGATTGAGCCGGTGAACCATGAACCTTGGAACCGAGGGTGGTTGGAGCTGATCTCTACTTGGGAACCAGGTTGCGGGTGTGGAGGGTCGTCGGTAGCGGGAGCTGCGGTGGGCTTTCGTTTTGGTGGCATTTCCTATTGAGAGAAATTGGGTTTTCCGTTGGGTGTTTTGGCGGGAGTGAGAGAGAGCAAGAATGATGAATGCCTGACCGTCAACGCGCGTTACGAACCATATGCAGATTTTAGGTCACAATTTTTATTTCTTTTGGACTTAGAATTGGGCTTGTAAGGATTGCTATGGGAGGCCATTGGTTAGCTATAGTATAAACACAGTAAAAAATCATTGATATACGAGTGCACTCGCATGTGTATATATTTTTGCACAAGTGTGTGTGTATGTGTGCGAAAGAGACAGAGAGGAAGAAAGTCAAATATGACAAAGTCATACCTGGAAATTGGAATCATCTTCTGGTAACCTGGAGGAATTAAAAACAGAAGCAACATCCTCGTTCCTGATATCATCTTGTTCATCACTAGCGTCTAGCAAGTATCTGATCAAGCTTACTCCTAAAGACAGCAGACTTTTCACCCACAAAAACACTGAAAATTACATGCATGCAATTTGACCTAGATGTCTTAACAGAAATGCAATATACTTTGTATAATCCCAATCAAAGAGATTAATCATAGACCTGGATTCCGTCGTTGAATCATTTATTTGTTGTAAGAAATGACTAGTCCCCATTTCTTTTCTCATCCTACGAGCAACAAAAAGCTTAGTAAATCTTCATGTGATGCCAAATATAGTATACAATACTTCCAAATAACGGTAGAGGATAAATAGCTTGTTCCCTAGCAATTTGTTGAAAAAATTGATTCCAAGAGAGTACAAATTTCTGATACTCTAATTCAAAATTTGGTCATTTCTAAGACCACAAACAAATGCACCAAGGCCAATTTTGATGCATTCTCCTTTTCCCAACAATAATTTCTTCTTTTCCTTCTCTGCACTGGCTTTAAGCTTCCAATTCTACCCCACTTAGGGCTGCTAATATCGAACCAGATAATAATATTCATGAAATTCAGTTTGGTTATATAGATAACGAGATCTTCTAGTTTCTTCAGCTTCTGCTTCTCTTCAAGTCCCATCTTCAAGATCATATATCAAGCAATCTAAATCAGGCATATATCCTGCTTCTTTCATATGTAGATTAAGCAACTCTAAAACCCCATACACCCACTCTGTTTGAGACCCAACCTCACCACAAACAACAAAGCTGTAAACCTGATTTCTTACCTCAATCCAAATCCTCCCTGGCTCTTTTCTACTCCCAGTTCTTCTCATCAACTTTCTCATTCTTGCAAATTTCACCACTTACCCTCAGCAGCATAGATATTTGACAATATCACATAAGCCCCAACTTTATATGGCCTCAAATCCAATACCTTCAAAGATGCTTATTTGCCCAACTTTGTGAGCTTATGTGTCTTACAAGCACCTAGAATTCATTAAGCCAAATGGCATGCTCTCGATCAGTTGATAAGCCTCCTCAACTCTCCCAGCACGGCCTAACAAATCAACGACACACCCATAGATCTCCTGATCAGGGGTGACGCTATAATTGCTCATTGATTCAAAACACCTCAAACCTTCATCTATAAGTCCAGCATGGCTGCAAGCAGTCAGAACTGCCATAAACACTATCCTGTCAGGTCTAATTATAGACATGACCATCTCATCATACAACACAACAGCCTCTTTCCCATAACCATGTGCCCCGTAACCAATCATCATAGAAGTCCAAGAGACCAAATCTCTATTAGACATTTCACTAAAGATTTTGGGCGAGTCAGGTATGCTTCCGCACTTGGCATACATGTCAATTAGGGCATCAAACAACACCAAGCTCCACTCGAGGCCTCTGCAATCAATGCCTACATGAACCTGTTGCCCGCAATTCAAAACTACTAAATTTGCACAGGCGGCAGTAATACTGGTAAATTTGTAGCAATTTGGACTAAAACCCTCAGATACCATTTGTGAGAATAGATTCAAGAACTCTTTAGAATCTACTCTTTCATAACCAGCTATAAAGGTGTTCCACGTGATAAGATCTTTTTTAGTCATCTCATGGAAGTATTCATTTGCCTCGGATAAAAAACCACACCAATATATGTCTAATATAGCATTCATGACAGGACGATTAGACCCAAGCCCATTTTTAATGACGGCTACATGTATTTGCCTGCCAAAAGAATGTGAGCCCATCATAGAACAACCTAAAGGCAATTGAAAAACTAGGAGGATTCAACTCTGCTTCCTCCTGTTCACCAAAAAATGCGAAAGAAATGACGAACAATTTCAAGGCATGCTACTTTTTATTGGCCAGAATAGCATGCTAATTCAAACCCAAAAAAAAATCATGGTTGTTTGACATGGTTGAGAGAGCAGCATTTATATTTGTGTACCATACTAGATGCTATAGCATACAATCTTGAGAACTGAAACTACCAAGGTAAAGTATAAAACTTCTACTACTACACATAAAACATGGGAATTTCCATAACGCAGCATAAACCCAAACAAATTAATAAATTCCATGTTTATTTTGAACAACTTACCGGTAACATTTCTCTCAAGACTTGAAGTCCAGTGCAGCCATCACCTCTATGAGTGTACCCAATGATCAAAATAGTCCAAGTGACTATATTTTTCTCTTTCATATCTCTAAAACCGACAATACATCCTCCATTTGCATGCATGTCCATTAGTGCATTATCAACGTATAAAGAACCCTCTACGCCATGCTTTATAGCCACCTCATGAACCAAACCTCCACATGCAAGATATTGCATGGATTTGCAAGCCTTTAACACACTAGATAAAGTAAAAGCCTTAGTTAACATCTCATAGAACAAAGTCCACGCACGGACATGATGGTTGCATGAAGTGTAGCCAGCAATCATGGCCGTCCACAAAACCACGTCTCTTTCAGGTGTTTCGTCAAACAGAACACGTGATTGATTAATCAAGCCCTTCTCAAAGAAGGATTTGATGACATTTATGGCTAATATGTCGGGCCCCTTTGCTTCTTTGATAGATGGGTAAAGGGTATCTTTGTCCGGTAGAATAGTTTCGGACCCATTGAAGGGAATATCTGATGGAAAGTGGGACGACTTTTCTATATTTTAGTAACCATAAAGCTAAAGGTTATTTGTTCTAGTAATGGTTGAATCATTATGAAATGAGAGAAGAGCGGAAGGAATGGATATAATCATTTTTGTGTTGGTGTTGCCTCTGCGGACTTACCAATCAATACCTATGAACTTACCAATCCATTCCAACCTTTACCACTTGTATGGCAGGGCCAAGGAGTTTAGAGATGACAAATTTTCTTTTCACATGTAACTGTTAAAAGGAGGTATAGAATAAAATGCTGCAGGGAAAAGCAGGGCATATGGTATGAAGAGAGTCTTTGGCGAGTGGAGTTTACGTGCTTCCAGACTTGTTTGGTCCAATTACCTTTTACAAACTGTGGACAATGGAAGAAAGAAATTTCAGAAAATACTATAACAACAAAAGATTATTAAAATCCATTGAAAATGTTAAACTGGTTCTTAAATCCAGTTCATGCAAATAGATCACTCAGCTCTCATCACTAAGTAGGAGAAGAGAAGGTTATTGCTTGCTTACCGTTGTTGTTCTCAATTAACCTCATCTGAATCCTTCTAATGCTAACATACTATATATCTTCTTGCAAAAATATATTTTGATATTTGGAAACTTTGAATATAACGTATTCATTTGTAAAGTATTTATGATCGGGTTAGATTATATTTGTATTTGATATTAATAATTTATATATTATATCTAGGTTAAACTTTACTCGAAATTTTAAGGTTTAAAATATTTTCAAGCTCAATTCAACTTAAAATAATAAATTTCATATCCATCTATTAATTTTAATTTATAAAATAAAAATTAAAAAATATGATTAAATTAAATTTAATGAAATTATATTGAATTCACATATATATAAATTAAAAATAAAATTTTAATTTAATAAAATATTTTTTTATTTTTTATAGATATGTTCATTTATATATAATATATATATATATATATGTGAATTGGAATTGGGCAATGTTGGATTCGAATTTTAAATTTTTTGTTCAAAACTCAACTTGAAATTTAAATGGAATTAAAAATTATGTTTAAATTTGTTTAATGAATTTTAATTTTTTATCCATATCTTTTCAAAACTTGAATAAACTTTTGAATTTAAATAAATAATTTAACTCTTGAATAGGTCTATTTGTATCTAATGTATTTATTTGTAAAGTATTTATGGTCGGATCATGTCGGATTTATATTTGATATTAATAATTTATATGTTCATTTATATTTAATTTTACTCAAAATTTTGAAGTTCAAAATATTTTCAAGCTCGATGCAATTTAGAAAAATAAAGTTCATATTCATCTATTAAATTTAATTTATATAATAAAATTATATTGAATTCATATATATATATATATTATAGATTATAAATTAAAATTAAAATTAATTAAATATATATTTTTTATTTTTATTTTTTATAGATATGTTAATTTATATATAATTTATATATATATGTGAATTGGAATCGGGCAATGTTGGATTTGGATTTTAAATTTTTGTTCAAAACTCAACCTGAAATTTAAATAAATCTAAAAATTATGTCTAAATCCATTTAAATTATATCTAATAATTATATTGAATTCATATATATATATATATATACACTTTTTTATGATTGTAATTTTAGTATTTATTAATTTATAATTATATATATTTAGAAATTCTTAAATCATTAAACAAAATCTTTTATTACCATAATTATAGTATTTATTAATTCTTTCGATCATTTATAAAATTAAGTAAAAATTTAATTTAACTATAATAACTATATATTAATTGATTTAATTTGTCAAATTAAGAAATGATTTATTTTGACTAGTTGGTTAAGATTAAAATATTAATAATGAAGAATTAAATAGATATATTTATTAACTTCTATATTTTATATAGATGACAACATGTATATATAATATCTAAAATTATAATGTATTATTGATTTTATAACAAAAATCAAAATCTAACATTATAATGTATCATTAATCTTATATAAATATATAAAGTCATTATATTATTTATATATATTTTTAATATATAAATAACATCCATTACTAAGTTGGATATCATATTTAATTAAATATGAATATATCAAATGATTGATTAAGGAGTCGACTATTAATTGTAATTATAGTGGTTATTAAATTTTTTATAATATTTTTATTGGATGTTAATAGAATTTATTTGAATCATTAAAAAATGTTTAATGACCATAATTATAATGTTTATTAATTCTTTAAATCATCAAAAAAATATTTTGATTATTATGTATCATTGGTTTAGCTTTAATCTATAACTTAAGATATTTTATTGAAAACAAAAACATAAGTCAATTGAAAATTTAAAAGAAATTAAATACAATTAATACATTAAAATATTTTAAAATTTTTACAAAATCAAATCAATTTATATCAATTTATAAAAAAATAAATATGAATAAATATAATTAATATAAGATATGTGACGATTGATAAAAGTTATTCATATGTCAATATTATAAGTTATTTATATTAAAATTTTTTACCATAAATTTTATTTTTTATATATTTTACATAAAAAGAGGAATAAAATTACTAAGCGGTGAAAGTAGAAGACGTTGGTAAGTGAGGTTTATCTTAGAATTAATACGAGGATTCTTTGGAAACAAAATAATATCAAATAAGTGGTATATATGATCTTGGCCCTTTTCACTTATGGAGCCTGTTAGTCTCAAATATGTACTGGGGACGTCAGGCCCTTTCGGAAAGAAAAAATTGTGAGCAATGGCCCAAACCTAATGCACTAATGTCAATGCGCTTTACATGTGGCCTTCACCGGGTTTCAAGTTTTCTTTGTCAATTAGTGACTCTGAAGATACGCCTAAACATGGACTGGGTAAGCAAAATTACTTTGATTAGTTCTTCCCTTGCCATCAACATATATATATAGTTTAAAGCTAAGTTATCTGCTGCATGCCTTATTGTACCAGGGCGAATATAATAAGCTCCCAAAATTTCCAGAGCTTAGATGTCTTCGACACTTGACTTACGAAGTTTGCTTAGTTGATGGAAAAAACCTCGGTTTAACATCTCTAATAAAGGCATCACCTGCCTTGCAAAAATTTAAACTAGAGGTAAATTATTTTCTTGTTCTAAAAATTTTGATTTGAGAGTAACAAGTTCATTTGCATAATATTTAGTTAGGGATTCTATATTTTACTATGTTTAGTTGTTGAGATGGAAGTGATACCTTTTATGCTCAAATATCCAATATTCCTCTGAATTCTTCTATAAATATATTACGTTGGCTGAAACTGAATATCTTAATTTACCTTATTAAATATCCAATAATTTGTTGAAAAATGGGTCGTTTTGCATATGTTCTTATACGTGAGATTTGATTATTAACTTGTATTTCATTCAGCAGCATGCTAGTTTTGTCTAAGCTTGTAGTTTACTTTTCTTCTCCCGTACATATTATATTGTTATTATCTATGATTTTGATTTGCTTTCATATGATGTATTGTCATTTCAATAATTGTGATTTTGTATGTTGTAATGATGCGTTTTATTGCTTATGTTGTAATTAATGTGATATTGTTTTCCTTTGAGATAGTGTCAGTTATATGGTTGCGGGATAAAAAGGGAAGTGCAAAAGGTGAAGGGGTATCGAAACAAAAACCTCAAGGAGGTGGAAGTAGTTGGATTTTTGGGTGGTATATCAGATACTGAACTTATTTTCTACTTGCTTCAAAGTGCATTCAATCTTGAAAAGCTAGTTATTGATCCTTGTCCTTTATCATCGAGGGGAACCCCTTGGGAGTTTATGGAGACTTAGGAGAAACCAAGGGCTAGAAAGTTTGCTCATCAATTCAAGAAAACTCAAGCTAATAAAGGATCAGTTGAGTTTGTTATACTCTAACTTCCCTTAATTTACCACTCACTCTACAGATTATTGCTATATAGAAGGATAAAATGTATTCTGGTTAGTGCCGATGTTTAAGACACTCAAATTGGCATTGGTTTGGATGACCAATTTATCATAGTTTTTGGTCTTTATTTTTGTAAAATTTATAATTTCCAGTCGTACTTTATTAGTGGGCAACTCTTTGATTTCTTTGAATCACAGTAAAATTGGAAAAATATGACCCCATAAAAAGGTACAGAAATATTTTTTTATATTAAATTCAATACCAACAGAACTAGAAATAATCAAACCCAAGGAAACAACCATCAATGGTCCTTAGGCTCCTGACAAACTCTGTCCATTTAGAAAAAGGAAGGACAGAAGAGAAATTAGTAAGAAAAACTAAGAAAAGACATTTACACAGTTAGACAACTTAGATATAATAATCTATATCGCCAACAAATGCCACAAACTTTTAAGCAGCGGATGGGGCTCTAATATGGTTAACAACGACAGCCTCTGACATTGCTGCCAAATATGGTTCTAAGCCTGTTTGTTCATCCTCATCAGCTTCTGCTTCACCAGAAACCACGTTTCTGTAGTCAAGCGACTCATCATTGTAAATGTCCCACCATTTTGTCACCAGCGTCTTAATGTCTTCTCTGTCCATGTTCTCTTCTTTGCCAGTATATCTCCATGGCTTGGAGCCAGCAGCACAGTAGTGAACAACCTTTGCTTTTTCTAGCTCAATGTTCTCAGGGTGACGCCATAGCAAGGCCATGACCAGGTTGTAAATTGGAGGGATGGGCCTGTAAATATCCCTAAAGAACATGTTGAGATAATCCTGCCAAAAAATATAACAAAAGACATTAGAATCAGGACCCATGAGAATGATGAGAATAGGAAGTTAATTTGTATCAAATGACAAAAGTCCAACTCCAAATTTAATTCTTACCTGCTCAGCAAAAGGGGTAGGAGTGGTAACTTTGAGAGTACTCAAGAGGACATCATACACAGAAAGGCTAGGTTCATATACAAACATTCCAGCGTTGAAGTAAAGAGGAGGTTTAGGACGCAGCTGAGAAGGCCACTGAACCTTATCAGGGCACTGCTGGCAGTAGCCAATCTTGTACTGTGGAGTGTGACTCCAAGTTTTCTCACAGAAGCAATCCATCACAGCATAGAAGTAACCATCTTCCATGTCAAACAAGTGGTCTATGTTATCAAACACTTGAATGTCTCCGTCTAAGTATATCATCTTGGAATACTCCACAAACTGCAATTTGAAGTATATTATATGTAAGAAAATTATCAAATTTGCAGGGGGACCCGACTAAAATTAATTTGCATACAAAAGAAAACTCTTTATTAAGCAGATAAATCTTAGACAATTAGACGTATGTTTAAGCCAATAAGGTAATAATAAGACTTGTTTGGTACCCAATTCCACTTCAGGAAAAAGAAAAGCAGAAACTGAAAAACCATTTTTAGATAATAGTTTGGAAAACTGAAACATCGTATGAAAACAAGGAAACACTTGTCATGGTTCTTTGAAAATATTCCAAAACATTTTGAAACAAAATTTTAACTGAAATTCCAAAAACAACCTTATGAAAAGGACGTACTAACACGTGGCACAACACCCAGTTGTTTTCCTAAAACAAGATTAACGAACCTGACAAAAGATGCGTTTAACACTAGCACATGCAAAAACATACCTCCCAGATACGTAGCTTGGAATAGTTGATGACATAGTAGGCCATGGCAAATTGGGTCTGATTCTCAGGTGGGTACACAGGCTCGATCGCCTTGACTATGCACCCCTGATCTACCAGAATCTTCCTGTGATCTTCTGGCACGTCCGGCAAGATCGCCACCACAAGTGGGTACTTGCTCCTAACCTTCCTCAGGCCCTTGGCTAACCCCACCACGCCCTTGACGTAGTCCCCGTTCCCTGCCAAGAACGTAACAAAAGCCCTGCGGGGAGCGCTGGGAGCCTTGGCGGTGACTTTGGCAGCTTTGGTACTGGTGATATTAGACGCCATGTTTGAAATGAAACAGAGGGTTCGATCACGTAGGTAATAAAAGGTATGAGTGTGTTTTTTAATGTTTAAGGTGTAAATAGTGTTTGGTTTGAAGGAAAATGAGTGTGTGAAAGAAACTTTGTTTGGTATCTGAAAGAAACTTTGATTGCCTTGAGTGATGTTCTTGAGGGGCAAGGAGGGAGTGTTTATATAGGAATTGGATCGGTTTACTGTTCTCAAAAAGGGAATAAAATATATGAAAATTGAATTATAAAATTAAATGATTTCTGTCTGTTGTGCGTGTTGGAAATGTGAGATTGTAAGGTAGCGAAGTCCACGTCCATTGATTTTTTGACCAACACTTGTTTTTCATTATATGGCTTAAGCCTCCAGGATAAGTGGTGTAAATGGGCGTGGTTTTCGGGTATCTGTCTATCAGCTATCAACTTGAGAAAATATTTGATCTAGCAGTGAGAGATTAATTTGTGGATATGGTCGGTGCACTCAAGGAAAGCGGTAGGAAATACCGAATTTATTATCCAAATTGAATAATATTGATACTCGAAAAGAATATACCCTTCATTCCTAATTAATTAATTTGTCTACTTTGCTACTACCTTAATGGAATGAATCTTTAACTATTTAAAACCGTATATATGTTTATGGAACGTAAATCAAATTCTTAAATTACTTTTAGTAATTTATAAATTACAATACCTTATATATAATAAGCTAATGATCATGTTTATATATAAAACCATGATAATGGAGATCAAATATGTTAATCTTTTTTTTTTCCCTAAAATTATGTTAATGTATTAAAAAAAACACTTCAATTTTAAAGATGATTCTCAATTCAACATGTTTAGTTTTTTTTTTTTTTTTGAAGATTTTAATCTATTTTTAAATTTTTATTCTATTATATTTTAATTAAAAAAATTATACATTTAAATTTTTTTAAATGTGTAATTTTTAATTATTAATTTTAATAATATATCAATGAATTCAAAAAATAATTGACACAACATGTTTAGTTTATTGATCAATTTTGACTTGTGGAAAATCTTTCCTTTTTTTTTTTTTTATGGGCTTGGTTTGATTTAAGAAAAAACAAACAAAAAAGGGTAAAGTCCAAAGAGAAAATAGGGTCAATTAAAAAATTTATTTACAGCTTAACTACCCCAACCCAACGCCACTTGCACCGGGAAGAGAGATCCACCGACAATGCCCTACAAAAATTAAAGCCCACACGAAAGCCACAATAATCAATCCACGTGGATTTGCAAAACATGTTCGGCGTTCAACGCGCGACAGGGTGGGTGGACTAGGTTAGTATGGGTTCACTTTTGGATCTCCAGGTAATCCAACGAGAGCCAGGTGGCATCCTTAGAGGCGTCGGTTGTTGATATTCTATTTTTGTCGTGTAGGTTCCACTGTATCTATTGCGTGTTGACCCTATGGGGTTATCAGATGCCATGTGTCAGCTTCAAATATAGAGGTCGGTGAATTGCCAAGTGGCTAAATCGGTGTGCTCAACGGTCCAATATGTTTCTTTTTTCAAATTTTCTAGTTATGTTAGTTACTCAAAACATGGCCTACAATTGCATTAAGATAATGGAAAATTTTCTTTTATTGATTTTGGATCAACCGACCAAATTTCTAAGATAATTGTTAAATATAATCGTTTTAGACTTAACTCCCATGACATTCAAAATTTAAAGTTTTCTACTTTCGAAATAGGAATATTCTCTAAGATTCTTGTACTTTTTCTTATTTAATTTTAACATTACTTTTGATTTGTTCTAGGGTAAAACGATTTCTTTTCCTTAAGTTTAGCCATTAAATTGTCACCGCCATGGCACGGAGTAGTAAATCTCACCAAAAAGTTCATTTTTAAAGGTGGAAAATCTAAGTTTACTTTTCTTCCTTCTCCTGGAAAAGTAGGGTAAGGTTATATTAGATTAGACTTCCTAGGTTGTAACCTGTAAACTGCTCTGCCTATCTACATTTTTTTAGTGGGCTAAATGTCATGTTACCATTGCTACTTGCTAGGTGCTGTCCTGTGGTAGGTTTTAACGGTCATTGTTGCTTTTTGTAGTTTGTTGGTGTCGGAACTTAAATGGCACTCTGTCAACATTAGAAGAGGCTCTTGTTTAAAAGCAGACCATTGCGTTTTGGATCCAATAGGCCTTTTGGGCTCTAAGCTTTTTTATTGTTAAGGTATTTTTACAGTAGCCGTTTGAATCTCTACCACATTTTTGATACGATACGATTAAATTTATCTCATTTTCAATTAAATTCAAATGCTAATTTTAGTAAAATAAAATCAACATAAATTTTTCATTAAATTTTTTTTTCAATCACAACTACAGTAATTTTTTTCAATCGCAATTATAATAAAATTTATTAATATTTTTAATCTCATTACAATCAATTTTATCATTCATCCAAATAGAGCCTTAGTTCTTATGCCCCTACTGTTTCATTCAAAAACGTCTGCAGAGAAATCTATCCTGGTTGTTCCATCATCCAAATTAGATGGCCTAGATGCCAGAAAGGGACTGATGCTACTTGCCTGGCTACAATTCCACATTCCAAGTTGATTAAGAACAGTACATATAGCTTGTATATCATTGAACAGTTTCTATACGAACTTGAGGGGGAAATTTAAGGGAGAAAATGACAAGGCAAAATTTATAGTGATGAGATGAATGGCCTATGCCTGGAGAACAAGACTTTTGCCAAGTATCATGTCATCAGTTGAGAAATCAGCCTCCTTCCTGAATGTTCCCCTGCCAAAATCTAAATTATACGAGTCTGCCAGTCCTTCCACCAGGTCAAATTCAGGTTTCCATCCCAGCACGTGCTTTGCTTTCTCAATTGAAGCAAAGAAATGCTGCAATATATAAAAATGAACGAAGTGATGATGATATTATTAAAAACAAACTCCTTGATGTAGATTAATAATGACATGGTCTGCAGCCTATCTTGTTGCTATAGCCACAACAGATTGAGAAGCTAATTCTATCTGGTATTTCACAAAATATTTGAGCCTAGCATCTACTATTCTTAGGAAAATGTAAATCTAGTAGTTTCTGATGTGACTACCGCTAGAAAATTACTCTAGTGCATTGTCTAATGAAAATTTCTAATCACTTGGTCTGCAGCCAACTTTGTTCTTATAACCACAATGGACAAAGAAACTGGTTCTCAAGTCACCACTGTTTCATAAGAAAGTTGCGGCCTAATGTCTATTTTTATTAGAAACCTGTAACTTGACAGTTTTTTTATGTGACTACGGTGAGAAATTTGCAGTAAAAACTCTTTCATCAATGCAGATAGTAATATGAACGGACGTTTTATCATTTCTCATGAAACTTCTCCACATTTGGTAAATTAGAAAAATAGGCATGAAAGGTTACCCAAATGACATTTTCAAGCATGATGATCTCACAGAAATTGAAGTTTCTGCAGGAATATAAATTCCATCCAATCAAATGGAGCCTTATCCTTTCGATTTCTTTTCATGCAAAGGCTTAAATTAGTCTATTTGCTTTATTTATCTAAAGTTGTGAACAAAATTTCTGTCAAGACTTACCTGATCGCGGAATGGGAATGCCTTCTTTTTACCAAAGTCAAACTCCTTGGGATTGTAGTGAACAATCTCAGGCTCAGGAAATCCAGCGGCCTGGGTGTACAATAACAAATTCAGTAAGTACTATTCATTGGACTGAAATCTCCTCACGTACTCTTAACTATTCAGTGAAAAACTGGTTAGAATTACCTTGGCACATGCCCTTGCTAATCCATCAAAAGTGACATACTTTTCTCCTGAAATGTTGAATACCTGCTTGCTGGCTTTTTCATTACCAAGAACCTGGATGAAAGCCTTTGCCAAGTCCTGTAGTTTTAAGGCTATGTTACATCATTCTCACTCAATATTGCAAAGAATAAAAGCATATAAATTGCTTACCGTAGAAACTTTATAGGACAAGTATTAGATTTTGGCTAGATAGATCAGAAACAACTAGGAGAACTGGTATGCGTGCTGACAATTATATGTGTCAGGAAACTTAACTGACTGTCTAACTGCCATATTGGATTCTTCTAAGCTCTAACTTATTTCTACAGAAGCAAAAGCTATGCTTCTTGTAAAACATGGTTAAACTTCCAAGCAGTTTAATAAACAACTAGAACTCAATTTAATAAGAGAAATGATTTTCTGAAATAGATATAAGAGATGTTTAAAATTCACCAATTTCCAACCTAAATACCAAATACGCAGTGGCCAGCAGGCTTGCAGTTTAACAGACCTTTACATGACCAAGTTGGGTTATTTGCACTCCAGAGTTGGGAATTGGAATAGGGCGACCTGCTTTCAAACGGTGGAAGAACCATTCTTCAACAGGGTTGTAATTCAAAGGTCCATATATGTAGACCGGCCTCAAAGAAGTCCAGTTAACACCCCTTGAAGCCAATAAGCTCTCTGTATTAAGCTTTCCCTTGTGCCTACTCTTGGGATCAACTGAATCAATCTATCACCAGGGCACCAACAAATTAGAAGAGATAACAACAGAATAAATGCAGGAAAATATAGAAGGAGAAAATGGAAGAATGAGAGAGAGAGAGAGTGAATTTTATGAAAAATTTCCCCCTCTTTAATCATCACATTGCATTAAGATCTGACATTCTGAATTGACCAGTCCCAAACAGGTTAATAGACACATGACTGTAATTCACAATCCTACCTCACAATGAGGTAAAAGATCAGATTTGAGGTAAACACCAGCTGAAGAGCAGTATATGAACCTGAGTATTAGCAGGGCTTTAGAATTTGGAAACGGAAGATACTAAATGTATAAAAAAAAATGCGGTTATTGAGAATATGGTATAGTTTATAAGTTAACTAAATTTAAGATATTGAAATTTCTTGAAATAATTAATATAATGATGCCATTTTTAGACATACAAACAGTAATTCGACCTTGGTAGTGAATTTTACAGTTATAGAGCCGTTTCTTCAAATTAAGAAATCATTATTTGATAGCACATTATATCCAATAATATCTATTTCAATGGACTGCTTTAGAGCTTACTGTTCTAGATTTGGGAGTGCATCCAGTATGGGTTCAACTTCATCTGCCTCTCGTCCTGAAAATTGTAGCAAGAAATATTCTCTACTTGAGACAGAAAGCATTTTCCTGATATATTGATAAACAGTTCTATTCTAAATAAAATGCACAAAAAGTGGACTAATAAAAGTCTACACACCATTTATGTCATACACCACATCGAATCCTTCAGCAGAGAGACTGGATTTCACAAATTCAAAGTCCTTTCTATCTCCTTTCAAATGCAAGATCTAGCAAATCAGGATTAGAAAAAAGAATTATCTACGTGGTGCACATAAGTTTATTTAGTTGTCAAAAGGAAAACACCAGTGCAATTGAGAAGCAGACACTAGTCAGAGCAAAATGACTAAACTTTGGAGGCATAGTCAGTAAGTGATAATACCTTGGATTTAAAATCAGAGTACTCACTGTCTGATTCACCTGGCAATTGTTGGGTAATTGGTGCTTTACCTCTAGTAAACAGAGTAACCTGCCAAAGGATTATTAACCTTCATTAGTGTCCAACATATTGATTTTACATTATGCCACAACAGATGCAAACTACTGTATATAGAATGGAAAATGAAACAGGAAAATCCCTAAAAGAAGATAACCTGATGGCCCTCTTTCACAAGGAGTCTTGACAAAAACACCCCGATGAACCGGGTGCCTCCCATTATGAGAATTTTCTTGGTGCTAGATGCTACAACATGTAATGCTCCTTTTGGCTGCCATACCTTTCGTTTGTACTGCAACCACGTCTAGAAATATATATGTCAAGTGGACCACTAGCCAATATCTCTATAACTAAATCCCTATCAATGTACTAAATTACTAGCCTGCGCCTCTTTCATCAACAATTCTCAGTAGTCATCCCATATTATTAAACTGATTAGCAACACTCAAGTCAATTTGAATCAGGCAGCAATTGTCTTCTGTATGTTTTAGGATAGCAAGTGATGAAAAGACACCATCCAGTTCCAATTTCTATATGCAAAAACGGATATGCATGGTTCTTATTAGAAAGAGAAAGAAAAAGACCTGGATTTGACAGAGTTTGGTGCCATTGAAATCAGAGAGAGAGGAAGGGAGGAGGGAGAGGGAAGGCTGCTTTGTTGGCTGCAACACCACCAGCTTTGACATGCTGCCTCACTCTCTCTTCACTCTAAGCTTTGCTTGCTTCGCTTGTTTTTGAGAGTTTGCGGTTGTTAGTTGCAACTGAAATTTGGAACATATTAATTCATCTTTCGTTGTTTGGCCCTCTCTCACTCAAACAGACAATCAGGATAAGACGTTGTCCACCTCACTTCGGTTATATCCACAGCCTCTCATTCATTTGGCTATATCCACAATCCTTACATTTGCGTTGTAAAACAAAAGCAGCACTACCATAAGGCAAGACAAAGAAGCCCATATTTTTTCTTGATTGCGGGCTTGGGTTTTTCGTTTTGTATCTCAACAATCAGTTCAGCTCATCAAACTCGAACATTTTTGTTTGGGGCCTAAGATCTTTCTCAACTCTAGCTAGGCAGTGCTGCCTGACCCTGAAATATCAGGAACGTTCTTGCCCAATATGTGGACTCATTTTACCAATCTTTTGCATTAATAAAAGAAAACTAGTTCATCTGGAAAGAAGAAAATAACTCATTTACTACATTCCCTTCGATAAAAATACATGATTTAATGTAATATGCATGCCACAATGGAATACATAATGAATTACTAGACAATAATCTAAATACTTTTTTTTTTACAATAAAATGTCTATTTTGTATCAATAATGCAGGAAAATGAAGATACACTATGAATTACAAACTAGATCAATGTGGAAGAAGTTTTTATTTCTTCTAATAAAATACTTAATAATATAAATATTAACAGTAAAGTAGTAAGGATTTTTTATTGTATCTAGTCTTAATAAAAGTAATAACAATTCAAATTAAATTTGATTCAATTTTTTTCATTAATATATAAAATTATAAAATTATAAAATTTGAATTAAATTCAAATTAAATTTTCATATGATTCGATTCAATTCGAACTAAATTTTATAGATTAAATTTAGTTTAGTTTAATGATTTTTAAATTTAAATTTTTTTGTTTTATATATTATTTTAATATATTTAAATGTGCTTAGGTATAAAATAAAATTTTTTATTTTATAAAAAATTTTAAAAAAATTATATAATTTGATTCAATTTTTTTATTTCAATTTAATTTGTTTTTAATTTTTACTTTTCAATTTGAAAATTCAATCTTAATATAATAAATATACACTTAAAATTTGAATTTGATGAGAATCAAATAAAAAAAAGCCAATCCAATCCAAAAAACCATTACGAATTGATTTTTTTTTTTTTCACCCTTGGGTCTGGATGGCAATGAAGAGTCTACAGAAATGATATGGGTAAATCTATGTAATTCCTCGGATATTAGGGACCTCCTTTCGTAAATATCCCTTATTTTTGCTGGATCTACCAAGAAAACCAATACAGACTCGAGAAAATTTCCCTGAAAAAAAAAAATCTCTCTTTAGTCTTTGGCAAGTGAAAAAAAAAAAAAAAAGAAATCAAATTTTATATTGAATCCCTGTAAATTCGCCAAAAGGCTCAAAACCCATCAAATTCTTACATCCTCCTGGAATGGATTTTAGTCAGGTGAGTTGATAGTGTTGCTAGTTTATCGTATTTCCTTGTTCTACGTATGATGCTGTGTGAATTTAGTATTATTGATCTTATTAAATTGGTTAATTGGTAGATCTGAGTCTTTTGGGAGGGTTTGGATTTTGAAGCATACCCTTTTGTTTGGTTGATGATAAAGCAGAAGAAAACTGACCAAGTGTAAATAAATCTTGGTAAACAGCTCTTGATTGTTCAATATACATTCCAAGATCCAAATTTTGCCTGCAAAAATTTCAACTTTGCGTTGATTCAATAATTTGGTTGAAGAAAGATGGTGAACTGAACAAGCTTAATTACCGATAAAATGGAGTTCACATTGTTTATTAGCCTCGTGCATTAGTTTGGAACATGAAAATTAGATAAAAATGTTACTAATTTGAAATCCAGTTGTTTATTTCGGGCTTAGAGTATTTGTTTGATTATTGCTGATGGTTTTAAATTTACTCTGTGCAGCCTCCAGGTGAAAATTATGCCAACCCCAAGACGTGTTTCTTTCATGTTCTTTTCAAGGTCAGTTGTTTTGTGCATCTAATTATTTTGATCTGGTGAATCTGATTTATATGCCCTTTTCAGTGTTGATGTTTAGTTTCTTGTTTCCTGCAGGCTGCAGCATTGGCGTTTTACATCCTTTCTGCTCTCTTTTTCGACAACTTTGTGATCATTTTTGTTGTGACTGTTCTTCTTTCTGCTCTTGATTTTTGGGTGGTTAAGAATGTAAGCGGACGTATATTAGTTGGTTTGAGGTGGTGGAACGAAATTAATGATCTTGGTGAAAGTGTGTGGAAATTTGAAAGTCTTGACCAAGAGGTGAGTGTTTCCCTTAATCAAACCATACATTTACTTTCAGATATAACATTACAAGTCTCTCAGTTGTTTATTGTTGCTGGCTACTTTAGTCATTGGCCCGGATGAACAAAAAAGATTCATGGCTGTTCTGGTGGACCCTTTACCTTTCAGTAAGTCTATCCCTTGCCTGAGTGTATAGCCATTTAGTTGTGTCTCAAATGATCAAAGTTATTAATCCATTATTTAATTTTTTAGGCGGTTGCTTGGATTGTGCTTGGAATATTCTCTCTCATAAGGTTTCAAGCTGATTATCTCCTTGTTGTTGGAGTTTGTTTGACTCTCAGCATTGCAAATATTGTTGGCTTCACCAAATGTCGCAAAGGTTGGTTTGTTTATTATGATTAACAATGCTTGGTTGAAAGTGATATCTAGTGTAACTTTTAGCCTTAGTCTAGGTATTTTATTCATTCAAGACTTTTTTTATGTAACTGTTTCACTAAATGATCTAGTTATAGCATCACATTGAGGCAAGGAAATGGCATGCTGATTAATACAGTAACTTATTATGACTCAGTCTAAAATAGTTTATAATGCCAAGACAAGTTTAAGTTGGGAAAAGATTTTCCAAGTGCATATCTATTGTCTGTAATGCAAGATAGGTTCATGATAAGCACAAGATAGATTTTCAAAGTTTAAGATTATGACAGTCTAAATATCTTTTGGATCTTTAGATAGTTTGTTTTGTCTTGCACTTTACATGTTGTTTCCTTGAGCAAATTATGATGACTTTTCCTATGGATACTGTGATGATCCCAATTTTGTAAAGGAGGAACAAAAAAAACATCATCCTTCATTTTTTACCATTCATTTGGCGGCATGATTGGTGCTATTAGTGTGCATAAGGAAATCAGTCATCAAGGGTGGTAATTCTACTTGGTGTAAACCAAACATTGATTATATCCATAGATTTGTTTTTCTTTCTCCATGTATTCTTGGTTTGTTGCAGGTTACCACTTATGGTTTGTTTTTGCCCTATGTATTTAGTTTGAGAGATGATAGGTGATGACCTATAATTATTAAGATTATAGGTGCTGAGATTCGAGTCCATGTTCCATTCAATACATGCGCCATGAGGCCCGTTATATATTGGGAAAATTGGGACATAGGATGCAACAGAAATCCTCAACTAATTTGTTTCTTTTCTACCTGTTTTTCAGCTCCTGTAAATTAACAATAAAATATTGTTTGGTTCTCCTTTCAGATGCCAAGAAGCAGATTCAACAGTTTGCCTCCCAGACTATTGCCTCAAGAGTTTCTTCCACTATACAATCAGCATTTAGTGTTGTCTGAAATAGCCAATAGTAAAATACAAGAATAACAAGGAAGAAAATGCACTCATAAACGGGAAGTTGAGAAGTATGGCATGTACAAATCAATCGAATTGGCCATTTTTGTGAACTAGGGGTTACAAATCAAATGTCATTTACAGTACCTCTAAATCTAATGCTTTGTATAATGAAATAATGAATCACTCAGAAAAAGTTTGTACAACAATCATCTTTCACTTACAGAGTACATTTTAGTGGGCTGTATAATGACCCTACAATCTTCCCTGAGATGTTTTGTTATTGATTTCAAATTTTTTCAACTTTCTTTTCCCTTGGTACTAAAGAGGCCAACAGCATTTACATTTTCCATTTGCTCTCTCATGTAATGTAAATCGTATGGTTGAATGCTGCCAATGCAACGATCTATCCAGATTAGGGATGGCTAAAATTGCAGTGTAGTTCAAGAGTTAAAAATTCGGACACAGCAAATGGAATGGCTCAATCTCTCTATTTCAAAGAAAGACAGTTGTCTTTTTTTTTTTTTTTTCAATTCATGTATTCATATGAAATATTAAAATTTATATATGTATATAATATTTTATATAAAAATTACATATTATAATTTGTATTAATATGAAATATAATTTTTTAATTTTTTACATTCATTTACAATTACTGCTAAGTTGGATTTTTTTATTTTAGTAATTCATGTATTTATATTATATAAAATATTAAAAATTATATATTTATATAATATTTTTTATAAAAATTATTATTATAATTTTATTTATATGAAAATATAAAATATAAAATTTTAATTTTATTATATTTATTTATAATTATTACTAAAAATTTAAATAATATATTTTTTTGTATTCTATCTTTGTATATCATCATGTCGTATTTTTAATTTTTTTTCTTTTCCTGGTTGCTTCGTAAACAAAAAAGGATGGACATATTTCTACATTATCAGGTCAAATTCGTAAGGAAAATAGAATAAGAAAGGCAATTTAAGTCTTAAAATTTTTCTTTTCTGTATAGCGGGAAAAAAAAAAAAAAAAAACGAAAGGCAAATCTTTTCTCTTTCTTTTCTCTTGAAAAAAAACTCTTCCCTTCACTTAAGAATCAGAAAAAAAAAATGCTTTTCAAATAAAAACTTTGTTATCCAGCAGTATTAAAATAGAAGCTAAAACTATAAAAATCCCATAATCGCGAAGAAAAAACTGTCAACACATAGGAAATAAAACTTGTTGATACCCAGATTCAGGTGGGGATAATACAAATTGCAATAGCTGACTTGTTGGAAACAAAGAGAGAAAGAGGACCAGAGAAATCAGACATGTTGCAGTGTATATTTCTTCTATCAGATTCTGGGTAAGTGAGATCTTTTCAATTCAAAGCTTCTTCCTTTGCTTCTTACTTTATTTTCAATCTTTTCAGTTTCAACTGTATTTGGGTTATTATTAAGTTAAAAAAAGTGAAATTGAATATATATATATATATATATATATATATGGATCTTTCTATATGACAGAGAGGTGATGCTAGAGAAACAGCTAACTGGGCATCGCGTTGACAGATCAATATGTGATTGGTTTTGGGATCAATCTATTTCTCAAGGTGATTCCTTCAAGGTACCCCAATTTCCCATTTCTCATTAATCTTCCCTAAAAATTTTTGCTTTTTTCAATCTCTCTCTTCTTTATTTTCTAGTTTTACAGCCAATTCAGGTTCATATGCTTTTTATGTACAGTCTTTTCTTTTTTTATTCAACTTCGATTTCTGGGTTTATTCCGTTTTCCAGTTTCTTAGTTGCATGCCTTCTGTTCTTCTCTTTATCTCCTTGGTAAATCATTCCAGTTGGTTTTGTTGTTTTCCCTTTTTTTTTTTTTTTTCATTTTCTTCTCACACTTTTTTAAACCTTGATTCTTGTTTGTTTATATAGTCACAGCCGGTGATTGCTTCACCAACTCATTATCTTTTCCAAGTTGTTCAAGAGGGGATTACTTTTTTAGCTTGCACCCAAGTTGAAATGCCACCTTTGATGGGCATTGAGGTATGTTTCCATATAAACCTTTGTTGTATTTGTGTATGCATTGAGCAAATTGAAGTTCTTGACCTTTAACCACTTCAATTCCAGTTCCTTTGCAGAGTAGCGGATGTCCTCTCAGAGTATCTCGGTGGGCTGAATGAAGATGTGATAAAGGATAACTTTGTAATTGTTTATGAGGTATTTGTTACTATACGTTAGTTGCTTTTCAAAGTGGCTGGGTCTTTCGAGCAGATGCATCACATAGATGAATTTATGTAAACTTTAATTGTGGCATACACCTATGTGCCTAGGCAAATTGTCATTTACATGGAATGCACAGCAAAATAATCTGCCAAATATTGGTCCTTTTCTTCTATGTGCCCGTTTATCACTGGGTGAAATGTGGTTGTGATTAATGAACCAGTATGTGCTGCTCAAATTGAACTGAACCAGCATGTTTGTTGCAGCTTCTGGATGAGATGATAGACAATGGCTTCCCTCTCACAACAGAACCAAACATTCTAAGAGAGATGATAGCTCCACCAAATATTGTCAGCAAAGTTTTGAGTGTGGTGACTGGTAATAGTTCCAATGTAAGTGATACCCTTCCTGGTGCAACGGGGTCTTGCGTTCCATGGAGAGCAGCAGATCCAAAATATGCAAACAATGAAGTTTATGTTGATCTTGTCGAAGAAATGGATGCAGTTATAAACAGGTCAATTCTTTGATCTGGCTAAAACTTTCCTTCTTATTAACATTGGTCTTTTGGATTTAGGTTATGATTTAATGTGCAATAGTTGAATGTCTCACTTGTTTGTATTGCATAGTTTTACACTCAAAGTCCTGAGCCTCTTTCTTTTGCATGTGCTGTTTAGGGATGGGGTGTTGGTCAAATGTGAAATTTATGGTGAAGTTCAAGTAAACTCCCATCTCTCAGGTCTTCCGGATTTGACACTTTCTTTTGCAAACCCATCAATTCTAGATGATGTCAGATTCCATCCCTGTGTTCGCTTTCGACCTTGGGAATCCCATCAACTTTTGTCATTTGTACCTCCCGATGGAGAGTTTAAGCTTATGAGTTACAGGTTCTCCTCTCATGCATTTTACCTTCTGCTATGTTTCAGCTGAATGTTGCTAAATATTAGCTAAATTTCCATGCAGAGTTAAAAAGTTGAAGAGTACTCCCATATATGTAAAGCCACAGCTAACATCAGATGCCGGGAAATGCCGTGTTAATGTGTTGGTTGGTATAAAAAATGATCCTGGAAAGACAATTGACTCAATAACTCTGCAGTTTCAACTACCTCCTTGCATTTTATCAGCTGATTTGACTTCAAATCATGGAACTGTAAACATCCTCAGCAACAAGGTATCCACTACTTTGTGAACTTGATATAAACTTATACCTTGATTTAGGGCATGATAGTGATCCGTATAGTTGGTAGTTACTAATAACATATCACTTTATGTTATATCTGATAACTTGTTTTTGACATGCCTTTGCAGATCTGCTCTTGGTCAATTGGTCGAATTCCCAAGGATAAAGCTCCATCATTGACCGGCACATTGGTGCTTGAGACAGAACTGGAGCGCCTTCATGTTTTTCCCACATTTCGAGTGGGTTTTAGGATTATGGGTGTTGCCCTCTCTGGCTTGCAAATAGATAAACTGGATCTAAAGACTGTACCAAATCGTCTGTACAAAGGTTTTCGAGCTCTGACACGGGCAGGGGAATTTGAAGTGAGGTCATAATTTAAATATCTGTATCAAGATGAGTTGTTGAGGGACTTGTTTATCATAGTGTTCTGATGGTTCTCGATTTCTTCGGTTACTTTATTGTTTGCTAATTCATAAACTGTTGCATTTGATGTGAAATGGGAACTCATACCTTCAAAATACCGTTTTATAGCAGAATAATAACTTCATTTTTTTCCTCAGGTGCTTCTCAAATATGAGTACTTTGAGAAACAATCGCTCCTTTCCCTCCAATTTCAATATCAGGAAAAGTCTGCTCATAACCATCACGGATCATACACAATAAAATCAATGCAATTTACCGACTTTCTTGTGACAATCTTTAGCTGGACTACTTCATCCAGTGTAAGGAAGCTATGGTAATAGACTAGCTAGGGATAATCTTCAGCTAAAATAATTTAGAATGATGCCATTGGAATTGATATAAATTACAACAACATGGAGAAGATATAAGTCTACTAATAAAGGAAGTCTACTAATAAAGGAAGATTGAAAGAATATACAAGTAGAGGAAATGATAAATCTATGTAACATAATAAAAAAAAAAAAAAAAAAAAAAAAAAAAACAGCGCTAAAAAGAAGAATAAAACCTCATCCCATCGGAAAAAATCTCAAGCTAAAAAACTGATCAGCCAGCCACCTTGTTCACTCTAAAAGAATCCATGACTTGCCGCAGATCATTTTCTTCTTCTACAAATACACTTTCTGGTGTTTGTAATCTCAACTCATATAACCGATTGTTTTCAACTCCAAGAACAGAGAGGTAGCGCCGGTTCCATTCCAATCGAGGTACTCTGTCTTGTGGCATAACAGCCAGTTCATTGGTGTTTGCATATGACTTTATGTTCACCTAAGGAAAACAGAATGCAATACATATAATCAGAGAAAGAAAAACGTGGATTATGCGACATGAAAGATGGTAGTCACCTCTCTAGTACAACCTGTTCTTATATGTTATCTCCCTTCAACACAAAAACTGACTCACCTCAACTTGATAATATAGCTTTCCATCATCAGCAACTCTTGAGGATGTGGAAAGTATATTTGATTCACGCCTTACACCAAGCCTTGTTGACATGAACTCTGTCAAGTACTGCTTTAATACTTTTGTTCCAGCTTCTTGTGGAGAACCCAAGTCTTCAACAGTCTTATACCTGGAGGATGAAGGAGAGGATAACTCCACGGAGAGATTTTCATCAAGAACATAAGGGTCCCTGAAGAATATATCAGCTCCAGCACCTCGAACTTGAATCCAGTTCTGAGGGTACTTGAATGAATAGCCATCAAATGTATCTATGTATTCCCTAAACCCCACAGATGGTTGAGCGAATGCAATATCATGTAAACCAACTTCTGAGAAGATATAACTTGACAAGATCAAGGCCATTGCATTCCTCCTTGGGACTGCAAAAGCTTTAGTCTGATTATATAATAAGAAAACAAATGTCATGATTACTGATAGTAAAAGTGCTAAGCATTCAATAATCAGTCTAAAACAGCAATTTCAACAGACAAAATGATAACCTCAAATTGATGTCTTTTTGTCCCTTTTCGACACAAACCCATCTCTTTCAACTGCAATGCCTACAAATTGCACTACTAATCACAACCAACATTCTCTTTCTTAAACTAATCTCCTATCATATGGCAACTGAAAGTTCTCTTCTTTGAATATACCTGAGACAGAGAGCTTGTTTTCCTATAATTACCCACTTGCAAAAACAACTCAAAGATGCTTTCTTTTCACTCTTTTTCATGTACTCTCAACATAAAATCGCTAACTAAAAATGAAAATTTATATAACCAAATGCAGGAATCATAATTGATCAATGAAATGAAAGAAACATAAATGACAATGGTGGGGAAGTAGTGTGGAAATGGTTTACCGTTTGGGTTCTGCGAGTGCAGAGACAAGAAGGAGAAGAAGGAAATGGCGTGGAAAGGCGAGTTTGAAGGGTGGGTCGACTCGGGGGTAAGAGCGAGTCAAGTATGGTAGCCATTTCCCGATAGCGCCCATGACTGGCAGGCAGGCCTATAGCAAAAGGATAGAATTTGACTTGGATCAGATGTGTGATCTATAACTCTGTCACATATAGGTGGCAGTTTCTGAATGGTTCAGTAATCGATTTGGTTATCTTAGTGGGTCCGTGGTTTTTAAAACGTTCAAAAATAAAATTAAATCGAAATAAAACCTGAAAACATCCCTTACAATCTTATCAGAAGGAAAAAAAAAAAAAACACAATGAGCCTAAATATTCACATAAATTACACGTGTATAAAAAGATTATGATAAATACATCAAAAATATACCAAATGGATTCCATCACAAACATGGAGAAAGTGACGTGTCTACTCCAGACAAAATTTTGTGTGAGAAAAACAAAATTTAATAATTTAAAATAAAATATAATAATATAAAATAAATATAATATAAATAAAATAATATAAAAATAATATAATTTAAATTTTAATAATAATATATAAATTTTATAAAATTAAAAAAATATTTAATATTTTTATATCTATATAAATTATGATATATAATTTTTATATAAAATAAAATATAAATATTTAAATTTTAATATTTTATATAACATTAATATATGAATAATTGTATCTAAGAAAAAATTGGATAAACCAATGTTCACCTTTTGCGTACTTGGCTGTGGTTTATCTGCCACCATGGCAAGTGTACTTTTTCTATTTTAGATAAAATCATCGTACTCCAACATTACTGGCTTCCACGATACATTTTTCCGCATGGATCGTCCTATACTGTACACTTGCCACTCTTGGATGATATGTCAACCACATCAAAGAATAGAGGCCAACAACAATTGACACGTGGCAAAATTTGAATGGTGGGAAAAATATGGATCTTTCATGGGGTACATGAAAAGTAGTGGATACAAATCCCTTCACACGTCACCAACGTTATCTTTCTCTATTCCTTCCAAGCAAAGCACTAGCTCACGTGCTCTTTTTTTAGGCCTAAAACTAAAAGTAGGCTACAATTCTAAATGGCCATGAAGGAGTATTTCCAAAAAAACAGATTAATAGAAAAGATCTTTAATTTTGATTTGGTTGGACATAAAAAGATCTTAAAAATAATAACTAGATTTACAATTAGAAATAGATCACAAATTTATGGCTAACCCTTCAATTAGGACTTGAAGACCAAAACTAGCATTGTTTTTTTTTTTTTTTTTTTAATTTTTAGTTGCCAATTTTTCCTTTTTTTCCCAATTATAAAATTTAAAGCAAAATTAAACTCTATTTTTTAAACATACACCCACAAGACTATAATAAATAATACTATAAATAATTCTCATCTTTTTTTTACTTTTTTGTGGAGAAGAGCTTGAATGAACGTCATATAACTTTTTGCTTTTATTATTGATTTAAAGCTTCTATTTTTATTAAAATTTTAATTTATGTGATGAGATTCAATAACTTTCTATAAAAAAAATACAACTTCTAAAATATATCTATGTTTTTTTTTTTTTCCATGCCTCATAAAAATGTAATATTTTAGCATCACATGAAATTTCTAAGCACAACGGTTTCACCCACCATAGAAATAGTCAAATTTTTGTTGAAATTTGTCCCAAAAAAAAAAAAAGTTATTTCAAGTCAAATTTTCTTTTTCTTCCTCGGAATAGCAACAAGACACAAGTAGCCCTACCATATATATGAAGCGCTTTCCTTGAACGAGTTTCATTTCATACAATTCTCTTCTCCGTTTTTCCTTCCAAAGACTTCAAACACAACTTTACCCTGTCAAGGAAGGACACGATCTCTGTCTGAAAATCTCTTGTCCTCCATAAAAGAAAGATAACAAAAAAGAACCCATCTTGTACACGTTATTTTTCGATACAGGAAAGGAAAAAAAAAAGGAAAGACAATTCATGTTTTACTCTTCTCTATCTTCAAATCTTTGTTGAAGTTTCAGTTTTTTTTATTATGAACGCCATCAATTTCATCAGCAATTACACCATGAAGCTTCCTTCAAGGGTCCTAAACCTCAGAAACGCATCGTTTTTGGGGTTCAGACATTCGTGTAATACCTCTTGTTGTGAACGAAAGCTTTTCTGCAGGAGCAAAGCTTTTCTGTTCAATTCCAGTAAAAACTCTCAATTCCACGCCTACCCTTCTCGATTCTTGGGGTTTCAACGCGTTATCAACAATACCGAGAAGTTGAATTGCTTACCAAGTTTTTTTCCCCAATCCAGGGCGGTTTCAAGGCCTTACGGTGTCTCTGTTGAAGCGAGGGTAGCATCAAGGGTAAGGGATCTCTCAACATCGGTTGAAACCCGCGTAAATGACAAGAATTTCGAGAGAATTTACGTGCAAAACGGCATTAGTGTGAAGCCACTTGTTGTTGAAAGGATTGACAAGGATGAGAACATTGTAGGTGGAGAAGTTCCCCTATCTGAAGATGCAAACAACGTGAAGAATACTGGGGAAGGTTTGAGAGAGGGAAAAAGTGAAATTTCAGTTGAGAGCGACATTGAAAAGGAGGCATGGAGTTTGTTGAGAAATGCAGTTGTGACGTATTGTGGATCCCCTATTGGTACAGTGGCTGCAAATGATCCAGGTGATAAGCAGCCTTTGAATTATGATCAGGTTTTCATTCGTGATTTTGTGCCTTCGGCTTTGGCTTTCTTGCTTAAAGGTGAAGGGGAGATTGTCAAGAATTTTCTCCTCCATACCTTGCAGTTGCAGGTACATATATGTATTCAATTATTTACCTTGTTGGATAATGTTGTAGCAGCATTAGTTGTGCATTTCCTTTTTTGGTTTGACTAATCATTAGTCATTGATTGTTTGGTATTCTTTTGTCTGTTATTTAACATTCAAATAGCCTAATTAGCGTTATTGTTGATCTTATCATATTAGAGTTGGGAGAAAACTGTCGACTGCTATAGTCCTGGACAGGGTTTGATGCCTGCAAGTTTTAAAGTCAGAACTGTACCTCTTGATGACAATAAGTTTGAGGAAGTGTTAGATCCAGATTTTGGTGAATCAGCAATTGGTCGTGTTGCACCAGTGGACTCCGGTTAGTATATTGCAACTTTGTAGACCTTTTACTAGGACAACTTGCTAGTCTTAAAATGAGAATGTTGAACTGTTCATCTTTAGCAGTCATAAAGTTTTTATACTTCTCAAGTGATTCTTTCTTTTTCAAAGTTCTTAGAGAGAATATCGATAAAAGTGACTGAGTTTATTGAACTGACTTTGTTGATAGGATTGTGGTGGATTATATTGTTGAGGGCATATGGGAAGATCACTGGCGATTATGCATTGCAAGAGAGAGTGGATGTTCAAACAGGAATAAAACTGATCCTTAACTTGTGTTTAGCTGATGGATTTGATATGTTTCCTTCTCTGTTAGTCACTGATGGATCCTGCATGATAGACAGAAGGATGGGTATTCATGGTCATCCCCTTGAGATCCAAGTGAGTTCATTTGCTTAAAGTTTTTTAAGTTTCCTATCAAAAACAACAAACGAAGTTGCTTTGCATTGATCTTGTTAAATATATTGGATATTTGGATGTCACCTGGTCTCAATGAGTTGGGTTGCCATTTTATCTGTCAACACAAAAAGGGATGCTAATTGAATTTTTTAGACCATACTTGTTTTTCTTGCACATTTTCTTAATTGGCACATGGTATTGTACCCAGTCTCATTTTTAATAGAGACTTAAGTTTGCCTTTGCTCTGTTGAAATTGTTGTTTCTTAATGCAGTTTTCTTTTGTCAGCTTATCTTTGGTTCTCCTAATTCTCTCGTGTTTGATCTACAGGCTTTGTTTTATGCTGCTCTACGTTCTTCTCGTGAGATGCTCACAGTAAATGAAGGTTCCAAGAATTTGGTGAGGGCTATCAACAATAGACTGAGTGCACTATCATTCCACATCAGAGAATACTATTGGGTTGACATGAAAAAAATCAATGAGATATACCGCTATAAGACAGAAGAGTACTCCATGGATGCTACCAACAAATTCAATATTTATCCCGAGCAAATTCCTTCATGGCTTATGGATTGGATACCTGAAGAAGGAGGGTATCTAATTGGCAATCTACAGCCAGCTCACATGGATTTTAGGTTCTTCACACTTGGGAATCTCTGGTCCATTGTTTCATCATTGGGGACTCCAAAACAGAATGAAGCTATACTCAACTTAATAGAAGCCAAATGGGATGACATTGTGGGGCATATGCCTCTCAAGATATGCTATCCTGCAGTGGAGAACGAGGAGTGGCACATAATTACTGGCAGTGACCCAAAGAATACGTAAGTCCTTGCCCTTTATCACGAAGACACTCTATCTCTGTATGTATAATATATATATATATATATAGGTATTATCTACTGACACTAGTGTTTTTAATGAGCTTGTGCAGCCCTTGGTCCTATCATAACGGTGGATCTTGGCCAACACTTCTTTGGCAGGTAAACTTGAATTTTCTTGGAGTTTGGAATATCCTTTGTCAAGAATGGCCTCTTACCTTTTGACACGACTTTATTTCTGGTTTTGTTTTAAATACCCAACTTTGTTCTATGATACTTCTTTCAATACCTTGAATTATTTCATGCAGTTATATACTCACTCTAAATCTTATATTACTCTTTCAGTTTACTTTGGCTTGCGTCAAGATGGGCAGATTAGAACTAGCCCAGAAGGCTGTTGGTTTGACAGAGAAGAGGCTTTCAATAGACCATTGGCCTGAATATTATGACACCCGAAGTGGGAAGTTTATTGGAAAGCAATCTCGACTTTACCAAACATGGACTATTGCTGGTTTCCTGACCTCCAAGATGATGGTGGAGAACCCACAGATGGCTGCCTTGTTATTTTGGGAGGAGGACTACGAGCTTCTTGAGATCTGTGTTTGTGCACTGAGCAAAAGCGGCCGGAAGAAATGTTCTCGTGGTGCTGCTAAATCTCAGATACTTGTGTAATTGAACACCATTCTTTGCAAGGCGGAGAGCCTTTTTACTGTACAGCCACAAGTTTAGGGTCTGATAAGCAAATTTTCAATCCTTGAAAAGTTCAACATACATGTTTGTATTACAAACTAGTGTAGTAGTATAGTCATATATGTTATTTTTGCTATCAATCATGGAAGTTGATTGGCATTGGAAGTATAAATGACTGGGATAACAGAGCCTGAACTTATATTATGGCTCCTCCCGAAGTTAACGGATTGTATATTGTTTAGCAATTTTCTTAATCAAAAGGCAGCGTAGCAGGATATTCATTTTTCTTCCCTATCTTGGCTGAGCAATGTTTATGTTAGGCCATTGATTCTGGTTGTGCTTTTTCATTGAGAGAATTCAATACCCATAAATTCTATTCCATCTGTATACCCCATTATTCAAACTTGAGAGCTTCAAAATGAAATTTCATGTTCTGATCATTGGGGTGTCCTGGGAAACTTTTATAGGAAACAATTGTCAAGTATAGAAATACACTTAATGCCTCCCCTTAAATGAACCCCTTTTTCCCGTATTTAAGGTCTGACATAGCCATAGGTATTGGTAAGTCCACACAGGCAATAAACAACACAGAAAATGATAATATCCATTCCTTCTGCTCTGCTCTCATTTCAAAATGATTCAACCATTAATATAATAACCTTTAGCTTTATGGTTACTAAAATGTACACTGCTAGAAAAGTCGTCCTACTTTCCGTCAAATATTCCCTTCAGTGGGTCCGAAACTGCTCTACCTGGACAAAGATAACCTTTACCCACCTATCCAAAGGAGCAAAAGGGCTCGCCGTATAAGCCACAAATGTCATTAAATGCTTCATTGAGAAAGGCTTGATCAATGACGCACGTGTTCTGTTTGATGAAATGCCTGAAAGAGACGTGGTTATGTGGACGGCCATGATTGCTGGCTACATGCAACCATCATGTCCGTGCGTGGACTTTGTTCTGTGAGATGTTAAATAAGGCTTTTACTTTATCTAGTGTGTTAAAGACTTGCAAATCTATGCAATATCTTGCTTGTGGAGGTTTGGTTCATGGGGTGGCTATAAAGCATGGCATAGACAGTTCTTTACACGTTGATAATGCACTTATGGACATGTACGCTACGTGTTGTGTTAGCATGGAGAACGCATGATCGGTTTTAGAGATATGAAAGAGAAAAATATAGTCACTTGACTACTTTAATCACTGGGTACACTCATAGAGGTGATGGCTGTGGTGGACTTCAAGTCTTCAGAGAAATGTTACTGGTAAGTTGTATCTAGTTTAGTGCACAAATACAAATGCTGCTCTCTCAAGCATGTTAAACAACCATGATATTTTTTGGGTTTGAATTGGCATGTTATTCTGGCCAATAAAAAGCAGCATGTCATGAAATTGTTTGTCATTTCTTTTGCATTTTTTGGTGAACAGGAGGAAGCCGGGTTGGATCCTCATAATTTTTCAATTGCCATTAGAGCTTGTGCTATGATAGGCTCACATTCTTTTGGCAGGCAAATACATGCAGCGTCATTAAAAATGGGCTCGGGTCTAATCTTCCTGTCATGAATGCTATTTTAGACATGTATTGCAGGTGTGGTTTTTTATACGAGGCAAATGAATACTGCCATGAGATGACTGAAAAAGATCTGATCACGTGGAACACCTTAATAGCTGGTTATGAAAGAGTAGACTCTAAAGAGTCCTTGAATCTATTCTCACTAATGGAATCAGAGGGTTTTAATCCAAATTGCTTCACATTTACCAGTATTACTGCTGCCTGTGCAAATTTAGCAGTTTTGAATTGCAGGCAACAGGTTCATGGAGGCATTGGTCGCAGAGGCCTCCAAGGGAACTTGGTGTTGGCGGATGCCCTAATTGACATGTATGCCAAGTGTGGAAGCAAAGCTGACTCATACAAAATCTTTAGTGAAATGTCTTATAGAGATTTGGTCTCTTGAACTTCTATGATGATTGGTTATGGGGCACATGGTTATGAGAAAGAGGCTGTTGAGTTGTTTGATGAGACGATCATGTCTAGAATTAGACCTATCAGGATAGTGTTTATGGCAGTTCTGAGTGCTTGCAGCCATGCTGGATTTATAGATGAAGGCTTGAGGTGTTTTGAATCAATAAGCAATTTATAACGTCAACCCTGATCAGGAGATCAATGGGTGTGTTGTTGATTTACTAGGCCTTGCTGGGAGAGTTGAGGAGGCTTATCAACTGATCGAGAACATGCCATTTAAGCCAAATGAATCTGTTTGGGTTGCACTTCTAGTTGCTTATAAGACACATAAGCTCCCGAAGTTGGGCAAATTAGCAGCTTTTAAGGTATTGGATTTGAAGCCATATAAAGTTGGGGCGTATGTGATGTCGTCAAATATCTATGCTGCTAAGGGTAAGTGGGGGGAATTTGCAATAATGGGAAAGTTGATAAGAAGAACCGGGAGTAGAAAAGAGCCAGGGAGGAGTTGGATTGAGGTAAGAAATCAGGTTTACAGCTTTATTGTTGGTGATAAGATTGGGTCTCAAACAGAGTACGTGTATGGGGTTTTAGAGTTGCTTCATCTACATATTAAAGAAGCAGGATATGTGCCTGATTTAGATTGCTTGATACATGATCTTGAAGATGGAACTTGAAGAGAAGCAGAAGCTGTAGAAACCAGAAGAGCTCGTTATCTATATAACCAAACTGAATTTCCGAATATTATTATCTGGTTAGATATTAGCAGCCCTAAGTGGGGTAGAATTGGAAGCTTAAAGCCAGGGAAGAGAAGGAAAAGAAGAAATTATTGTTAAGGAAGGGAGAATGCATCAAAATTGGCCTTGGTGCATTTGTTTGTGATCTTGGAAACGACGAAATTTTTCAACAAATTGCTAAGGAACAAGTTATTTATCTTGTACCATTATTTGGGAGTAATGTATACTTTATTTGGCATCACATGAAGATTTACTAAGCTTTTTGTTGCTCGTCGGATGAGAAAAAAAATGGGGACTAATCTCTCACAATATGTTGTAACTCTGAGCCAAAGAGCACAACAAAGAAATGATTCAGTGACAGAATCAAGGTCCATGATTAATCTCTTTGATTGGGGTTATATATACCAAGTATATTGTATTTCTGTTAAGACATCTAGTTTAAATAGCATGCATGTAATTGTCAGTGTTCTTGTGGGTGAAGAGTCTGCTGTCTTCAGGAGTAAGGTTGATCAGATACCTGCTAGACGCTAGTGATAACCAAGATGATATCAGGAACTTGGATGTTGCTTCTGTTCTTAGTTCCTCCAGGTTACCAGAAGGTGATTCCAGGTATGACTTTGTCATATATGCCTCTCTCTTCCTCTCTGTCCCTTTCGCTCTCTCTCTCTCTCTCTCTCACACACACACACACACACATTTGTGCGAAGATATATATGCATGCGAGTGCATTCATATATCAATGATTTTTTACTGTGTTTATACTGTCAGACTGCCAAAAAGAGATTGCGTGAGACCATTATCTTCCAACAGGGCCAAGCCTCATAAGGAGGAGAAGAAGAAAAATGAATCAGAGATGGAACAAAAGGAGTTGGTGAGGATGAAGATATTGTGGAAGACTTGGTCTTGTATGCTTTAGTTATTGATAATGTGCTATTGATTTTCCAATGTTTATATGTTTATGTAATCCTGAATTCCATGTTTGAGACATGATTATGTCCATCCATTTAAGCTCTTAAATAAAACATTAAAAATTCTTACGAAATTTTAAGGCTGTGTTAGCCTCGTGAATCATTTGAATCAAGTATTAAAAGATTAAAGAAAGTCTTACAATGGATAAGATTTTTTTTTTTTTTTTTGGTGTCATAAAAAGTAAAAACCCCTATTTTGCAAGGTTTTTTTTTTTTTTTTTCAACAGTCTCAGAACAAGCAAAAGAGAAATAGAAGTACTATAAATATTGATTGGCTGTTTAGAAGAGATCAGAATCTGGCCTTCATCATTCTTGCTTTCTCTCACTCCCGCCAAAAGACGCAACGGTGAAACTTATTTCTCTCAATCGAAAATGCCACCAAAACGAAAGCCCACCACAGCCCCCGCCACCGACGACCCTCCACACCTGCAACCTGGTTCCCAAGTTGAGATCAGCTCCAACGACCCTGGGTTCCGAGGTTCATGGTTCACCGGCTCAATCATCAAGCGCGCTTCTTTAAGAAACCCTAACAAGTTCGTAGTCCAATACACCCTCCTTTTCCAAGACGAGGCCGGTACTAAACCTTTGAAGGAAACCATCGACGCAGTGGATATACGCCCTCTGGCCCCTCGAGAAAGAGCAAGAAAGTTCAAGTTCGGTGAAGAGGTGGATGCTTTTCACAATGACGGCTGGTGGGAAGGGGTGATTACTAAGGAGTTGGAGAACGGAAACTTTCATGTTTATTTTAAGAGGTCAAAAGAGCAGTTGGAGTTTGGTGAGGACCAGTTGAGGCTTCATAGAGAGTGGGTTAATGGGTCTTGGACGCCACCATTGGAGGAAGATGAGCAAGTGGAGGAGGTAAACTCTTTTGGGTATTTCTTTTTTCTTGATACTTTTTCACCTTTCTTTCGTCATTTGAGTTTTTTGAGTAATTCTTGTTTCTTTAGGTTTCCTCTTAATCTGTTTGGTTGTTGAAATAGGAAGTGCAGGGAAAAGATTGAAAAAATGCAAGAAATTGGGATTTATAATTTGTTTCTTGGAATGTATACTTGTTTAGAATGTTTGTAAACTGATGTGTTATTATGTGAATTCTCTATATCTATTTCAGTCTTATGTTGTTTAAATACATTTCTTGTGTTGGTTATAAGGATAATAGAAGTAATAGGTTGTCTGTTTGAGGATCTAAATCTATCACGTGCTTAATATAAACTTTGACAAATATACTATTAGATAGTGGCCCTTTCTGGTTTCAGAAAACTGGTACTGTTACTCAGTTTTCATGATGAATTCATATTTTACTGATTGAATGTATAAACTTGGAAGTCATTATATGCACTTGTTCTGAAACTTGGTTGTAATTTGTTATCTTATTTGTTTGTACCGTGTAAGTAGCAATTGATGGTTGCATAATTGACTAAAGAGAGGAGTTAGGCCTCTCCCCCTCTGCATGTATTTAGTTGTGCAAGTTTCTAGATTGGGGGTTGGAAGGAAGTTGGGAAAAGGAGGATACATCTTAATAGTATCCATAAGTTGTAATGCAAAAGCAGGATGTTAGACCTAAACAATACCTTTGAGAAACATGGGTCAAAAAGATGTGATTCTCTGTAACATGGTTCTTTTCTGTTCCCTACTAAGTTATATTTTCTAGTGTCTTGTGTAGTTTGCTTCCTCAACTTTTCACATTTTAACTGCAGAAAGTACAAACAGAGAAAGATTTGAAGTCTAACAAAATTGTTACTCAAGAGAAGCTGGGGTGTGACAATGGGACAAGCAAAGAGAAGTTAAAGTCTGACAAAGCAGGGAGTGGAGAGAAATTGGAGTCTGGCAAGACAACAGATAAAAAGTTCAATGAGGGAGAGCATGTTGAGGTGACCAGTGATGAAGATGGTTTCGAAGGTGCTTGGTTTGCTGCCACTATTGTTAAAGCAGTGGGGAAGGACAGGTACCTAATTCAGTATGAGAGCTTGAGAACTGAAGATGACACTGATTTCTTAAAGGAAGAGTTTGATATCCTGCACATTAGGCCTTATCCTCCAGAAGTTGTTGTGGCTGATCGGTTCAAAAAGCTTGATGAAGTTGATGCTTTGTACAATGATGGCTGGTGGGTGGGTGTGATTTCTAAGGTTCTTTCTGATTCAAAGTATGAAGTCTACTTTAAGAATACCAAGGAGAAAATGAAGTTTAATGACTCTGAGTTAAGGCTACATCAGGACTGGATTGATGGAAAATGGGTTGCAGCTTCCCAGGTATGACACTCTAACCCTTCAACATCTTTGTAGATATGTGTTGTAGAATGGTGTTGCTTGGGGTTTGCTTGGGAATTTAACAACATGGTCTATCTTTCTCTAGACTTGCTAAAGTGTTTGTTTGTTTGATGGATTTAGACATTTAGTTCCTGAATTTTTATCAACTATTTAAAATTTTGATTTGTTAAAATCACATTCCCATATTTTCTAAACACATGCAATTAAAAAAAAATCCGTGACAAGGTGACAGTGAGACCATTGCGCCTGTCTATTTTCTTAAGCAAACTAAATTCTTGAATGTGTTGCACACATAGTTGTATTTGTTTGTATGGATGCATACCAATTAAATATTACATACCTGCTTGTCAAATGATGGCAACATGTTCCATCTTTTCAATATAGTTGTCAGTTGCAATGTAACTTTCATAATGTGGCTTATGCCAACCCATCTCTTTCTTCCAAGCTTCAATTTGACTCCTTAATAGAAAACCGTATTCCATGCACCAATTATGAAAATTGTGCTTGTGCAAGTATTTTACTAATGTTTGGTTGATTGTGATTGGCTTCTACTCAGGCATTAAAGTCATAATTGCTGCAGGAGAGGTATCAAGCACGTGCGTGGTCATAAACGATACTCAAGCTTGGGGCCTTTTTGTCTGAATCAATGTAGCTATTACAGTTGGTGCTCTGATTGCTTCCGTAACCTATTTTAGGCATTCATAGGCATTTTTTTTGGGGACTGTAATTACCTTAAAAGCAACTTGAACTAAGTAGAGCATACTAAAACGTAAGTTGTATGGATGGCCTAGCCTTCGGTTTTATTGACTTTGCCTAGTCTTTTCTGTTAAGGATTAATGATACATTGTTTTCTGATACAATTTTTGTTTCTTGAATCCGCAGAAAAGTACTTTTATGACGCGGTGATTGTTAATGTAGGTGGTTCAAGCATTAAAATAGAGGTTTAAGAATGGGCCATCTAATGGGTTCCGTTGTGGAAGAGGTCCATTTGAGGCGGTGAGTGGTAGTAGTAGTATTAGTGCTAACGCAGTAGGCTTTCCTCATGCTTCTTCCTTTACCACATTGTTTGAAACATGGCTTCCAAAACAAAAGGTTATGATCTTACGATGATCCATCGATCTTGAAAATTCAAGAATTATTGACTCATGAATGAAGTAAACACAGAAGAAACATAGGCCTCTAATAAAAAACAAGAGCTTTTATCACTTAAGAAGCATTTGGTTGCTTACAATAGGTCGAAACAACAATGCAATCATATAAGTCTCGGTTCCTATCTGAAAATATGATGTAGTTCTTACTATCATGAAATGCAATGCAACATTGGTTTTCTGAAATTGTAAGCACTTTTTTTTTATTGAATGCTAGTGACAGACATTAAACTAAAGACAGCACATCCAAAAAGGAGAGAAGTCATGAAACCCACAGATGAGGCCTCCTATTTGGAAAATAAAACTCCTCTAGAATCTAGACCTCCTTCACTTCCACAGCTCCATTCACTTCCATTTCTTTATTCTTCTCCTTGGTATCCTTAACTTCACCTTCAATCTCAAAAGCTGATACAGGGAAAGATCTTGACAGCCCTGCAGGGGTCTTGAAAGTGATTTTGCCAGTCGGTGGATCATCAACATAAATATCACTGAGTGTGATCCAAATCAAAAGCTCCTTGGTCTTGACCCCAGTCAGCTTCTTGATCTTGTTTTGCTCAACAACAGCTGTGACTTCAGGTGCATAGGAAACAAGTTTCCCAATCTTGTCAAACTTGTGGGTTATGCTCTTCTTTTGTTTGAGCCACACAAAACCTGTGTCCTTCACATACCCACATTCTTCGATGTCTTTCAACGGCAAAAGCCCTCTGGGCATGCCTACTTCCTGAAGCAAAAATTTTGATTTCTCTTGGCAGATCTCATCTCCATGGTAAATTTCTGACGCACTGGCTTTGATCTCTTCGGTAACCAGAGACATCTTTTTCCAGAACTTGGAACTCTTCAACCTATTGAGAAAGATGCTGAGGAGAACGGAAAAGGATGCCGAGGAGGATGGAAAGAGACAATGGGTCCTGATATACTTGTCAACCTATTTATCCACCCTTGGTTTGCCAAAATATTTCCATAATGCCATTTTGGCAGGGGATGCACGCCGCATGCCTCGACAATGATTTTGGTCGGCCAAGGCTGGTTTTGGTTGTAGCCATAACCCATGGGCCATCAGGGCTGCTGCTCAATATTCGACACTCAACACTCATAGCTAGTTTAGTTTAGGGGTTTAGGTGAACAACTAACAGGGGAGTAATTTAGGTAAACAGAAAGGGCCACAAGATTCTTGCACAGTTACCTTTTATATTTATGATACAGTTAGACATTTATTGCAGGAATTAATGGGAGAGAAAAACGGGGAACGGTGAGTGTTTAAAAGTAGTTGCCAATATGAATACGCCAAGTATAATTTAGGTGGGAGGGGGAATCCATTTATTGACATGACTTATCACGTTTGTATGTGATAAGGATCGAACCATACACGGGTGGGAGTTTGTGGACCCAACGTACAACGTATCTATTACTACCGAAAACTGCTATCCTATTCTGGATGCTTGCTGAAATTTGAAGAAATCACAGATGTTGGAGCTTTATTTATGCTCATTTGAAAATCTAAACATTAAAAACATATTCAGCCACTTCATTTGTTGATTGATGTTAAGTATTGGAAACAAAACAACATGACAATTAGCCCTAGTTATTTGTAAGAAATCGGGATCATTAAGCCTAACCACATGCACGTACAATTTTTGTATTAGAGTCTTATTGTAAGAAAAAGAAACTCCAATCTATAGTGTCCATGTAAAAAATGAATTAGGGAGCCTGCATATCATTATATCACCATCCTAATTACTACTTTAAAGCAGAGCAGCACGTGAAAATAACTAGGTTCTGAAACTTCTTTACTATCACTGAATGGGGGAAGCAGCAGCCTTTATTATTTTACTCTGCAACCGTGAAGGATGTAGTTATGGCCATGCTCGCTGGAAATAGGAGGTCCACCATGCCTGTTTATTTTGTACAAACATGTCATTGATGATCGTTTGTCACAATTAATACCACTTTCCACTTGTGTCACCATTTTCTAACCTAGACTCACTGAGCCTGGGCTAAGCCTGTAAATAAAGAGCCCAACCTCTTAATATAAAAATTTTTTAGGTAAAAAAAAAGATGAAGGCTATTATCATTCAAAACCGGGAATTATTTCCCCTGAATACTGGTAAATTTATTGACTATCAATATACAACAATTAATAGATGTTGACAAACTTGCAGATCTAAAGGTGAAAAGAATCGCCTGATAGCCCTTGTTTACTGGCAATGTCAAACAAAACAAGGAAAACAAGGAGAATTCTGATTCACAAGAGTTGGGGGGTATGCATAGATGCCACATGATAGGCTATTTTTGCGGGAAAACTGGAAACGTTCGCATGAAAGGATACCATATCTCCTTGGGACTGAAATAGACAAAGCCTCAGAAATGTTTTCCATTGCCAGCAGGTGACAACCTTGGCCCAACAATTTCCAAGGAACCGTGAACTAGTTGCAGCTTTTATATTGTTATGGTCCTTCATTCCCATTCCATGACTGTAATTGTTTAGCAAGGATTCAATTTGTTTGATCTCTTTTGGCATCGATCCAGTTAGAACCTGTTTCCATATTCCACAACCAGAAGGATCACTGACCACTAACTAATAATTTAATAATGATTCTGAAACTTTTAATTCACACCGCCTAACTATGATAAAAATATAAACATCTTGTAAATACCCCCCCCCCCCCCCCCCACCAAGAAGCCTGAAAGATAAAGCTCATACTAGCTATGATTCTGCCCTTGTTATTCCAACTACTCTAACTGATTTATGTATAATGTTCTACTGAATATGTCACATCCAATAGATGGATATCCTTAAGAATTGAAAGGAAAAAGGTAATGATAACCATCTTTGAGTAATTATTATCAGCAACAAGTCACATCAACTGCAAAGATACCTTGAGAATGAAAGGGAAAAAGTAACAATAACCATCTTCGAGTGGTTATCATCAGCATAAAGGCCCATGATTGATGAAACAACCACATTTTTTTTCCTAGTTTTGCTTTATGATAGCGTTGTGCGAATGGAGTTTGAATTTTTACCTCACAACCTGTTTCTGTAATCAGAGCCTCATCCTCAATTCTTATTCCAGTGCCTTGGTACCTGCAACACATCCCCATTAAGTAACTTGCACAAAGAGTCTGATGTTGTTAATCTACTTAGGACACATCTTCATAAGGACTCTTTGCCATGGTAGCAACTTCAAAATGCAAAGAATATGACATTTTCAATCTGATGTCCTCATAAATTCACAAGGACCTTCTATCATGGTAGCAAAATTCAAAATTATATAAAAACCCAAATACCACTCTTTCCAAATTGTAAATGAAAATTAGCCTCTTAAACTCAGAGAAGAAATGTTTGTCCTCTACCAACAACTCAATCACAGATGTGCAATATTGATTGGTAAGACAGTCAACAAAAACCACGTTAAGTATATGCACTCAACAAGCCCTAAGTTCATCTTTCTTATAAGCCATGACCACTTTAGCAGTTCAGCCAATGACAAAAACCATAAAAGTATATGTGAAAAGAAGTGTAAGATAATCCTCAATTACTCAAAAAGTGGCCATAACGCTTCTTATACTCATGCTGTATTCATATCTGAGTTTAGTGGCCAGTCATGCTTCTTATACCCATGCTGTATGCTTCTAGTAATAGTATATTTTCATGTCAACCTGCCCAATTCCAACTGCAAATGGAACAATTCTTTAAAAAAAGGGATTAAAGCCTTCTCACTGCCAAAATTAGTCAAGAAAAGTGTTGGATACGAAAATATTCAGTCAGACAATATAAACACACCTAAGCTTTTACTTCCAGCATGAACATGCATAAACCAAACTCATGATTTAATACAGCCGCTCCACCAGGTTGTTGGCAACCGGGAAGATACAAGCAATCTGCATCTTGTCAAAATGTGTAAGGCACAACATCAGTCATCATCTCTACAGGGGTGGCAGCAATTATGGCCAAGCTTTTCTCTGGTAGAAGTTCCAACAACCTTTTTCTTCTTGAGATGTATTCCTCACTAGTTATACCAGGTGTAATTTCCCCTTCCTTCATTAACTGTGCAGTAAAACAGGAAGTAAAAAACTTACACCAAGTTTTAAACTAAACATAGAACGCACTTAAAAGAAACCTTCTTCTCTTTGGCCCAGAAGCTTTACCACATCAAATTGCCATTCCATCCACAAGAACCCCCCATTATTTGAAGGGTTATCATCCAAAAGCAAATTCATCACACGTCTCAAATCTATACCACATTTTCTAACATCGAGTGCTGAGGACATGTTAAGAAGCACACCTGCGGATGAGTTACGGGAGTTGGTTGTCCAAAATCTGAGATTTTCTTAGTAGAATATGCATTGCAACGAATAGCCTAGCAAGCAATTTAAAATGAGGTTAACAGTCCATAGAATAATCACATATTTTTCCAGAGAAAGAGAAATAAAAAGCTTACAGAACATAGATAATATTCAGTAATTAGTATTCCACTATCCAAGCATGAAATTTTGTTTGATTGAATACTTGATAGCAGAAACTGAGCAAGAAAAACTCACAATCTTACCCTTCAATCTATAGTCCAAAGAAAAATAACAAGGGGGATAAAGATATAAAATCTTTGAACTAGAAGACTTTACATATACATATACCATTGAAGTATAAATTCGATCATAAATCAAAACTTCAAAAAAAATAATGGAAAAACAAAGAGAACGCAGATTTGACAAAAACAAGCTTCTTTTCATTGCAACGAGCATAAAGCAAGTAAGTAACCTGATATAGCTATAACTAAAAATCTCTAAAATTCACGAATGATGTGACGATTTCCAAGTTAATGGACCAACTAGGAAGCACCCCACTGGAACACTCAATTCAACAATCATATTCTAATGTCCCAAAGGAAGGAAAATAATAGAAAGATGTTTAATTGAAGCAAATGCCTTGAGCACCTAGCATTTGAAAAGTACTCACTAAGTGATATAAGGTAGTAGGATTGGGAAAGGTACTTGTTTGAAGGATAACTGGCGCTGGTGCAGCAGTTTCCTACTCAGAATCTTCATGTTTGCTGCTTCCTCTGTCGGGTTAAAGGGTACTTTTTGCTTCCAATGTTTGTGTCAGTCGATAGACAAACAGTTAAGGATTTTGTGTTTGTGGTTTGGTTTGTTCGAGGTTATTTAGAAGCGAAGTTTGTTTCAATTTAGGGTTTAAGACTTGATAGGACCTCCTGCACTCTCTTTGTCACCGAACTACCCAAGGGAATTTAGCTTTCCCGTCTCTCGTTTGACTTTTTTTTTTCCTTTTTTACTTTTACCAGCAACAAGATTAGATTACTTGAGCATGCCATCATTCTTTCTTTTTTTTTTTTCCCATTTTAATGGAGCATTGCACCATTTAAATATCAAAGGAAAGCTAAATTTCTCCCATAAAAATGCAGTTGCTCACTAGCATGCACTTGGACCATTAGGTCATATTTGAAAGAATTAATCTCTTCAATTCCAGAGCTAAACCCTATTTCTAAATACGGAAATGAAAAATCAAAAGATTGTCAAATACATATTCAATACATCAGAGAAAACCTCGAAGAAAGTCCTTTATATTGTCAATGTATGGAGACCGAGTAGGAATGATGTGACCAAATTCATGTTCAATGATAACAGAGCAACCATCTTCAAATCTTGATGCCAGGTATCTGCTGTTTTGACTTGTGATCTGCCTGTCCTGACCAGGATGGCTACCAAATATATGAAGCGAAGGGCAATTTATGGGTAGTCGCCCAAAATCTGGTAATGGAAGAGCAAATCCGGAGCACAAAATCGCAAATCTGAAATCAATTTCACCCTTTAGATTGTCTCCTTGTGCACTAAGTAAAGCAGCCATTGCTGCTCCTTGTGAAAATCCTAAAATCCCATCAAACGGACCTTGCTCTGAGAACACTTTTTTCAAATGAGCCAGTGATACATCAAAGCCATCTGTTTGCCCCCGGTACTGGAGAGGATCAAACGGCTGATCGGCTAATTTCCAATCAGCTTCGTTCTTACCATCGACATCAGGTGCAACCAACCATGCATACTTCCTCTTGCAGTTTTCAGGTGGAGGAGCATGTTGTCCGGAAGATGGTGCACAACTACTGTTTGGTTCCATACAAGATTGGTATATGAATGGCAACTCATGGGGTGCATCAACAAAAACAAGTTCAGCAATGCTTTTAAGTTTCTTGGCCAATGATGCACTTCTTCCTTTAAAACTCGAGGCATTTTGCCGGAAACCATGCAAGCATAAAATTCTTAGTTTCCTTGGAGGCACATTGCCTGTGGCATATAAGTTATACCGATGTTAGGAGCATCATAAAGGAAATTGAGATCAATTCTAACTTTCAACTCTTGAGCACTCAGGACATCCTCAAGCATTCAGTACTTAAATGCAGGCTTCAATATAAAGCCTCAAGCAAATGAGCTTTACTCATAATTTACAAATGTATTGGCAAAATATGATATGTACGAGTTTGTAAATCAAAAATAAAAATTGGCAAACAGAGAAAGCATATATCAAAGAAAATGTCATAGGCATGAGAGAATAACAATAATAAAAATTGTCATGGGTACAACTAACATCAATTCAGTTGATCAGTGAATTACTTAATATTTCTTGCTTAATCAAATAAAACAGACCTTACCATATCTTGAAAGCAGCTGAGATGGGATTATGGAATCTGAAGAATCAATTTTCAGGTCATTTTGGTCCAATACTGCTTCAGGCTCATTATCTTCCACAGATGGAATTGTTCCAATATCCATATGATGTTTCTGGCACAGCTCACAAATGTATGCATTACTCTTTATCTGCCAACCAAGTTGACAAATTCAGAAACAATAATGACGAAATATAAAGAACAAAAGGTGTACCTGAAGAAGCCTGGACAGATGGAAACTTATGAGAATATGATGGCTAAAGAGATTATTGTGGAACATACCCGACAACTATCACAGATCAAAACAAGCATTCTGCAGTGAGTGCAGCGACACCGTGAAGAATAATCATCATAAGAAGAGCCACAAATAAGGCAGGCACCCATAATATTTGTATCTGAGCTCCCAACTGATATCCTACCAACAACACAGAGGTATTAGAAAAATCCTCAGTTTTAATTCACCAGTTTTCACTGCAACTCATGAATTGGACTATTATGCTAGTCACCAAACAATTCAAGACATTCCAATCATTGGATTCCCAATGCCATTTAAGATGACAATTCTTACTCTCATTATGAAGATTCTCATATTGATTGATCGTGATGTCTTTTTTATTTGAATGTTCAAAATTACTAGTAGTAGTTTGGACACTCAAGTTGGCTGTTGTCAACTTTTGTTTTAAGTTGTCTTTTACTTCTTAAGCTGAGGGGTAAAGAAATATCAATTTAGTTTTGAAATCTAAGTTTTTGATAATGAAAAAGCAGCAGATTTATTTTCTTGAGGCCGAAAATAAAAAGGATTATATCATTGCAACCTGCAGCTTGCAACTTATGATCAATATCAATTTACTACCCCTTTTTGCCAAAGTTAAATGAAGTGGAGATAAAAGCAAAAGTCAATCCATACACCTCACAATGTACAAATGCAATTTCAGTTTCCAGCCTAGCGTGACATAAGATACTAATTATGTTCTAACAATAGTATGCTGCAAAGCTATGAAACCATACCGGTGATCAAAAACAAAGTTCTTTCCTCTGAAGAAACCACCAGCAGGAAATCGTTCCATATAGCGCTGTATTCCACCAAATAACTGCAATAAAGCCAACACAACCAAGATATATCATGATTGATTGACATTACTTGCTTCAGGTGATATTATCAGCATAAATAAGGACCAGCTTATAACTTATTCCATGGATAAACAAGAAATTGAAGAGGGTAACATGATTATCTATCTGGTTTCAGAAGCTGACCTGAAAGACATTCTCAAAGCCAGCACCTTTTGACCTAATATAGGCTGATGCCATCTCACAACGGATTCCTCCAGTGCAATACCTGCAACACAAACCTATTAAAAACAAGATCTCAAGCGGTAGAAGAAGCACATAATTAAGCTGACGCTCAGTTTCCATCATTTAGAGAGGGTGAATAGCGAAGCTACCACATTCCGTAACAGCACGTCCTACCAAACAGAATATCATGTAGAAATAAAGGGAGCAAAAGGAGTAGTCATTAGGAGTTGTTCGATAAAATTTGAATCCAGAGACAATGATTCACAGGCATGAAAGAACTGAAATACCCGTCCAAGAATATTATCAGGATTCAAAGTACTTACATGAGGACATGTTTTCCTCTCAATTGTTCTGAATTATCATCTATCCAAGAGGGCAGATCACTATACTGCCTGATACCTGGATCCAGTGTCTCCACACTTGGAGCATGAAACTTGCCAATTCTTGTCTCATATAAATTTCTCGCATCTAAAAGAACCACCTGCTTATCATCAATAGGACTTCCATTCTTCATAAGTTGCCCTGAGAAGCATAAAATATACATACTATTAACAAACAAATAATTTGAAATCACAATCATTAACCAACAAGCAAAAAATATGATGTGAAATAAACATCAGAAAGTAACTAAGCCATGAAAAGTGAGCGATCAAAGGCTATACCAGCACTCTGAAGAACAGAATGGAACTCGGAAGCAGAGAGATACCTCCCAGCATTAGAAACCTCTGGAGCTTTTAACAGGGGATGGGAACTGAAAGTAACCAATTCCTAAGAACATATAGAAAACAATATTACAGTGGCGGGAAGCATCAACAGAACATTGGTAAATGTTGTGAAGAACATGTAAGCAAAAATAGTATCCAAGCAAAGGCACTACAAAGTCAACTTAAACTCCATGGCATTCCCATTCAGAAAAACCATTACTCATTCGAACTATAAGAAGCAAGTGAGCTAACAAAGTTAAAAGAAAAGTTTAGTAGCTGAAAATTATTATAAAAAAGGTCCCGAAAGGTTGAAACTTGGAACAAACCTTGACAACACGAATTGAAAGAGAAGTAAAGCCACATTCAAGAGCAACCTTGTCATTCAAAGGATGACGAGAAGAAGCAAGCTTGAAGTCAGTTCCTTGGAACAAACTATTCGACCTGACGGCTTCAATGTGCTTTTTCAATGCGGACAGCAACCCACCAACCTGCTTATCATCAAAAACAGAAAAAGACCCAATAATCCTTAGACTAAAACGATTGCAACTATACACGGAAATATATAAAGCAATAGCAGGCAGAGCTTACGGTGACATTAACGCCATTAGGAGAGAGACGAACTCGGCCGAGTAGACCCAGAGAGTTGCAGTTGGATTCGTAGAAGGAGAAGAGCGAATTGAGATCAGGGATGGAGGCGTATTTGTAATAGAGAAGTACCCCATATTCATCCTTCGACATTTTCTTCTTCAGTTCTTGGATTTTTTGGTTAGGACTTTGGAGCCCTAATAAATAAAACCCAGTATTTGGAGTTGCCTTATGACATGAGTTATGACTTAATAACAGGCCTCGCCTGTTTGTCTGGTTTTTTTCCTTGTGCATCAGCCGACAATAGTTTGTGTCGTGTCGGTTCGACAATTACATATACAGTATTAAGGTGAGAATGTATCAATGAATGCATGATTGTTGTTGAACTTAGTTTGAACTTTGAATCATAAAGAAAGAATAGTAATGATTAAAGAGCAAAACTTAATTCCTTTTTTTCTTTTTTTAAATCTTAATGACACAGAAAATGTTTGAGATTCTATCTGCAAAAACATCTATCAGATTTACATGCGTAAGCCAAGGCTTCAAATGAAGCTTATCAACACATGCAAGTGATGCAACATCTGAGCTAATTGTTCATTTACCAAACATAAGCTTCAGAGTTTTAGAGTCCTTCATATCATACCATAATCTTCAGAAGTTTTGTGTCCATTTACCAAATTTCTCCACTAATACAACCTATAGGACAAGAAAACCATTCAATGCTAATTCAGATTTAGCACAATCACAAGGAATATTTTTCCTATGGAATATAGAAAAATATAGAAATACAATCAAGTTTAAAACCATTTCAAAACATTTCCACAAAAAAAAATAATAATAATAAAGACAGCAAAGCCTATGCGCCAGAACAAAAACTCTGACCCCTTGGCAGCGATGAAATGCAAACACAAGTCTAAAAATTTCGCTGCAAGGAAAGTAGCAAGGCCTACAAAACTAGAGCCGAAGTTCTCAAACTAGACACTTCAACCAAATTTGAAGCCCCCAGGTGGAACGTTGGGCTGGTTAGCTCCGAAATTAAAGCCTTGCTGATTTTCATTCCCACCATCTTGGAGATTCTGTTCATCTTCTTCTTCTTCAGCCCAGTATCTCTCCAAGATCTTCACCGCCTTCTCATAAATCTCATGGTTGTCATGAGTTTGAAGGCTTTCAATTTTATCTAACCCATCACATTCATCAATCATTTGCGCATATAGATTGATTCCACCGTTCATTCCCATTTCCTTATCAGCCTCACCAACCTTCAGAATGTTCTCAAGCCCCTCAAGGCACACAGTCACAATCCGTGGATCTGGACAGATCAGTAAATCACAGAGTGGCTTAATGCAACCTTGGCTCGCCAGGAATCTGCAAAATAACAAATCATATTAGGTTTGCCACATTTAAGGCAGAATCTGTCTCTCACTGTCTCACATGCATATCGTTAAGTGAAATGGTTAAGAACAATTATTCAGTAAGGTTGCTCCAATGAGGACAGGAGAAAAATATTTTCATTAAACATAACCAGAAAAGTATGGCCAATACAGCTGTCATTCACATATTACATATTATATCTTGACAATCTAGATGCATGGCCTAACAATTGATATATGGTATTGCATCATATTTATGACAAGAGAAATGGGAAGACAGAAAAACAAAGACAACAACTGAATATTTAGTTGAGTATGCCATCATATTTATTATCCTGTTAACTATCTAATTTAGTTGAGTATGCCAACAGCATGACCCATCAATATCTGAGTATACATGTGTGCACCATGATGCTGATATTGCATTTAGACAAAATATCAGCCTATATTCTCCAATGAATCTATGTGTGGAGTTTGCAAGCCTTCATTTGTCTTTTATAAACATGCATGAATGTCCAATTTTGAAAAAGGAAAAATGGAAATGAAAGCAAAAAGGGAGCAGGACAAACTGAATCTGCTCATGAGATCCTCCAGAGGTGGCATTTGAGATGGCCCATGCAGCCTCCTTCTTAATGTCAAACTCTGCATGTTGGAGAAGGTGTACAAGAGGAAGGATAATATTAGCCTCAATAACTGCCTGTGCCACAGAAAATCAACAAATAATCAATAACAATATGAGTGCCTCTAATTTTGAATGACACTGCAAACTATTAATTGAAGTCACAGTCCAAATAAGCGATGCTTCAATTGCTGTGAACTAAAATGTGCAAAATGTTATCAACATCTTGGAAAGTATAAGTCACACAAAAGCCACAATTGGCAATTCTTACGCACAAGATGATTGAATTATCATACCTTTTGGGCGGCTGCACACATTGAGGCAATATAATCTTCAAAAAATTAATGGGCAGTGAGAGAAACTATACCTGTATTTGAGCTCTATTACCAGCTGTTATATTAGATATTGTCCAACAAGCTTCTTTCTTGATGCTTTTTTTATGATTTTGCACAAGAAGTTGATAGAGATGAGGGAGCACCTTGTTGTCAATCACAAACTGAAATATACCTGGAGTTACTTTGCAGGTTGCAGCTTTTAAAGGAAAGAAAGAAACAACTTCACAACAATTGTTTATCTTTGCATAATCACAATAACAGAGTTTTAAAATACTGATTCTATGTAAAAGAATACGTAGTTTGTTTACTATATCCTCACAATTAGATTAAAGAAGATTGATGAGAAATCAAATGAAACAAATAAAGTCAGTCCAGCAAACAACAGAAAAGAAGAAGATCAACCAGCGGCTAAGAAAAACAGTAATGATGCCAAGACTGCTGTGAACATGCATAAATTTATATCTTACCTGAGTCTGATTATCATCACCAGTGACAATGTTTCCCACAGTCCGAAGAGCAGGTATAAGAACTGTAGGTGATGGATGACTAGCATAAATGAATTTTTGTCAGCACCAGTAGTCAACATATTGCAACAAGTATAAAACCCACAAATTATACAGACATAAAAACCCAGTCTCAAAAGCAAAAACTATTGGCAGTTGCAAAAACGGAGAGGGTGCACGATATCTATGCTAAAAAAATCTGGAGAGAAGGATTACAACCTAGGGTAGTTAGCATTCAAGTATTTTGTAGGGTATGCATATGCTTACCCTAGAAGTTCCACCAGTTGTGGGCAGACCCCAGCTTCAATCACAGCCTGAATTTTGTCATTTGGGCCATCTGAAAGGTAAGATAGTGCCCAGCAAGCATCTGTCAGAACTTCTTCATCATTCAAGTAGATAAGTTCCCGTAGAATTGGTAAAGCAGGCTTTACCTGAAAAGAACGCACAATTGTTATCAAAGCCTCCATAAGTTACCAAAATGTATTGGGCCAAAAAACAATAACTGAGAAAACTTCTCATATTACAAATTCAATAGAAGCCTCCCACAGTCTCTACCTGCTCAAATGGCGTTGGTGGCTTGCCACGGCAGAAATTAGATAATGTCCATGTCGCATTCCTCAGCATGGATAATTTGGAGCGTTCATTTAACTGAGCTAACAATGGCATAAGTGCACCACTACCAAGAACTAGATCTCTACAACTTGGTGAATCACCAGCAACATTACCTAAAGCCCATACAGCCTAAACAGAAAATAGGCTAAGTGAGATAGCAAAATGCATCAATTCTTGCTGCCAAGCAATAGTTAATAGAACACATGCACACAATAAATTTGGATAAACAAAAAAAAGGACATAAAACAGTATGCAAGTAAAATATAGTGTATGGAAATAAATTCCAGCATAAATTACTCTAAATGGGAGAAAGCAAAGCAACATTGGACAGGATGTAAAATATACTGCAATGACTGGTAAAGTACATGCCGAAAATGTAGAACTAAAACATTAATAATATAAGTTGAATGGAAAGTAAGAGAATTTATCACTTTACACAGTTACAGAAGATAAAGATGAGTTATTAAAACAAGAACTGACCTGCTCTCTAACATCATCACTAGCAGAGCTAAGCAGCTGCACAAACATTGGGACCGCACCATGTTCAATAACAACCCGTGTGTGCTCAGAGGTGCCAGAGGCAACATTGGTCAAAGCCCAGGCAGCCTCAAACTAAAATCAAAGGGAAGTTAGTCTATTATTTCTTAAACAAATTATTTCGATTGAAAGAAACAAAACATCATACTTGCAATTGGGGAACATCCTGCCTTCCAAGAAACTCCACAAACCGAGGGACCACTCTAGCTTTGATAACTTCATCGATTGGAGGGCTGCGCTCTACAAGTAATGGAGATGAAAGTCAACAACGTAAACGGACATGTTCCTTAACAAAAGAACCGTTCAAAGAGTAGGAATTAGAAAATATAACTTACCTATTGACAACAGCTTCCTAAACTGAGTTGTGGCTTCTAACTGTAAGGCAGGATCGTCAGACCACACCCCTTGTACCATCAAAGGAATACTTTCCAACTGTTAGATATCATCAGGAACACTATGTTCAGGATAAAAATAATGAAAAGCCTAAAATTCAAAGGATCAGAACCATAACAAAATCCTCTCCTACAATTTTTCCAGCTTCAAGCAGAATTGATGTTTAGAAATCCTAAGTAAAAAACAGTATGTCAATAGACATTTAACCTTTCCCAACACCCGCATGATGAAAGATATAAGATCTAAAATGCTAAGTCCTTTTCCTCACCTAAATCCATCTTATTAGCAATAAAATCAAACAGCCACCGGTAATTGGAAGAAAACACTCCTCCCCATGCTTCACTGAAACGCTACTAGATCATAGAACATCAGAATATTGTCATCCTAAATCCACAACTTTAAACACCCTCTTTCCCCTTTTTTGCCAATTAACACAAACAGGTATTAAGGCAAACACTTCAATCAACAGACTACTCAAATCTCAAAACCTAGAAACAAGAGAAAAGAGCAGCTATCCTATTAAGTAGGCATAAAAAATTTTGCTTATTTTAAATCAAAAAGCCACTTCCTTTATCAAAATATTTATACTTCTACCATCATAATTGCATATCAGTAAAAAATAGACAAAAAAAAAAAAAAGAACTGAATCAAGTGAGTTTAATAATCTCCATTGAGTTAAGAACCCAAAAATTTATCAAATCTTTTCATTTTTTCTAACTAAAAGTACTAAAGAAAAATCCTTCCTTTCTGATCTTAAGAATTAATAATTGTAATGGAACAATAACAGCAATGATAACTACGATAAGTAACAGCAAAAAACTCAGTTGCATCAAGATCCCAAATTCTACCATCAACAAAACCAAACCCATCAATCAAAAACAGTTGGAAACATAACCCCAAAAAGAAAGGTACCCTTTGTTCAATAGCGGCAGCATTTTGAACCGCATCGAGCAAAGGCTGCTGAGACTGAAGAAGAAGGCCTTCTCTACGCTTTTTAAGGAGATTATCTTCACGCTTGTTCTTCCTGATCTCAACCAAATTGTCCTCTCTCCTCCTCCTAGCTTCCTCTGCATCCACTCCCGTCTTGTAACTCTTCTTCCGCACCTCAGTTCGGGTACCTGGCCGAAGCGACATTCTCTTCTCTTTGAATCCTTACTCGCTTGATTTTGTCTACTTGTGTTTGTAGAAATGAGAGGGTCGTCGTTGGTGAGTAGCGGTGGAGTTGGAGAGACAGATTGTGAAGTGAAAAATCGATTTTTTTTTTCCTTTTATGCTATAATAGACTCAGTGACTCACTGATCTGCGCTGAGTCGAAAAGGAGCAAAATAAAAAGAAGTTATGGTAATGGGCCGGTTTTTCCAAGGAAAATAAAATTTTAAAAAATAAAAGATGAGAAAATATATTAAATAAAAAAGAATGTGAGATATTCCGTACCAAATTGGTAACAAGCAGATCAAATTATCAATCTATTTTTGTTTATATTAATATTAATACCAACTACTATCAAATTTATTTAATTCTTTTGCAAATTCATCCTGCTGAATTAATGCCATTTAATTTAATATTTTACTCTTAATAATTTAATTTAATACTAATTTTCCTTATCGATTATTCAAGAATAATTTTTAATAAAATTAAAAAATCAAAATATTTATGAGAATTTTTTTAAAATTTGATTTAAAGAATTAAAAAAAAAACACACCTAAAGCTAGGCCCAAGTAATTGTAAAAAATGAGCCCAAAATCCTCTAGGCTACGAGCGCCACATGAGAACTCCAGGGTTGGGTCCATTACTTTCCTGGTCAACTAAAAAGTGTCCAAGCCCGTTTCTCCTCTGCCGTGCCCTTCGGTTTTACTTGCACAAAATGTTATACGTAAATATGAAAATTTAAAATATAATATAAATATAATAAAAAATAAGATATAAAATTAATATAATTTAAAATTTTAATAATTATTATATATAAATTTAATAAAATTAAAAAATTATGTTTTATGTTTTTATATTAAAATAAATTGTTATAAGTAATTTTTATTTAAATATAATATAAATATATAAATTTTAATATTTTATAATATAAAAATATATGAATCATCAAATCTAATTACGAGTGGTCTGCAAAATATTTGAGGAAAAAAAAAGAGATTTTTTTGTTGATTTTGTAAAAATTAATATGATTATCATAAAATTTGAGAAAAAGATTTTTTTTTTTTTTAAGTTTGGTAGAAACTAGTATGAGGTTGCAAGAGGCATATTTGGAAGATAGATTGATTTGTATTATGTGATGAGTAAGTGGACTACAAGTACACTAGTATTTTGTCTATCTAAATTGAAATTTCAAATTTTTAAAATTTTAAATTTTTTTTCTTTGGCAATTGACATGTCAAATCTCAAATGAATGAAATTGTCTGTCTTATTTGGAATAAATAAAAATATGATGCTCCCTTACAAAGTGCTCACTGAATTGAGGAGAGAGAACAAATTCAAAAACTAAGTCTAAAACAAACAAAAATGCCAGAAGTTCTTAGCCTAGCCTAAAACAAGACAAATAAAATTGAATTTTGCTGGGAATTCAATTTCCCCCCAACTCCAACACAAATTTCAAAACCAAAGCAATACTCGATTAAAAAGGGTCCTCAAATCACAACCCTCCATCACCAATAATGGGTCCACAACACTCCCATAAGAGAGCCCAAGTCCATGCTTCAGAACTAAACCAGCATGTACCCTATCATTTCTTCCTTAATCAACTCCAAGTAACTGCTGGTAGTATAAATAAAACCATCCGGTTAGAGTCTCACTCTTTTTCTTACAAGCTGCTAGAGTTGTCGGTCCAGTATATAGGAAAAGGGAAAAAGAAATTAATCAGAGAAAAAATGGTAGGGAGATGGGCCATGTCAGCATTTCGGTGGGTAGCTTCGGACCTCGTATCATTCCGATCGTCGATCTCGTTCGAGTGGCCCCATATGAGCAGCTTCAGCTTCTCCTTCGTGGACGACGTTGTTTGGAGTCTGATCACAGCGTTTGAGTCTGTCGCTTTGGTTTCCATGCTAGGCTTCTTCTTTCTCTTTTGCGGCTGCACTATCTGATAGATTGCTGAGCGTTGTCGGGATTTGACGTCATCTGAAGTTGGGTGTTGGGCTGCAACGTGGCGCAGGCGGAGGCCTCGAGGTAAGCCGTGTTAGTAGATGACAACGTGACTTTGAGTTCGGCGCACGTGGAGTATGTTGGTAATTTTTGTCTTCTTTTTTTTTTTTTTAATTTTTGTAATAGATAAGTTAATAGAGTGTGGACACATCAGCTGATTTGGAATTAATGTGTATGTTTCTTAGTAACTATAATCAGATTTCAAGATTCATCTATTCTAATACTAAAATTTATATATTTATATTGTATTTTTATATAAAAATTATGCATTATTTTAATTTCAAGATTCATCTATTCTAATACTAAAATTTATATAATTATATTGTATTTTTATATAAAAATTATGTATTATTTTATTTTTATTAAATTTATAATAATTATTATTAAAATTATAAATTATATTATTTTTTATTTAATTTTTATTATATTTATATTATATCATCATGTCATATTTTACATTATTAAATTGAATTACAACGTGATTTCAATAGTGATGAATGAAAAAACTTTTTCTTTTGCCAACGTGATTCCAACGTAATTACAATCCTTCTTTTTTGGTTTTCATTGTCAAAGAAAAATCAAAGAAAGCCTTTCTTCTTTTTTTTTTTCAAAAAAGTTTTGGCTGGCTTTTTCTTAAATTTCTCCTTAATTTAAGGCATTAGTAGAGTTTGTCATGTGATTGTGACAACTATAGATTTAAAATTTTTTTTCCACGAAAGAAAATAGTAAGTTAAGCAATTTGACTTGTAATTGGCTTCTAAAGTTGCCTAAAACATGAACCTGAATTTATACAATAAGAAGAAATGGAATGGATTGGAGTTAAAAGGGTTTGGATTTTGCAGGGTCTGTATAATCGTATTTATGTTATAATAAATGTGCCAATTCAATGAAAAAAACTTGTGTTTTTTGAGGATTAATCCATTGTTGTTCATTTATTTATTTATTATTATTCTTTCACTTTTTGTTAACACATGAATGTGGGCTTAGAATTGCAAACAATAAGGGTTACAAATAAATTTCTGGATATAGAATAGCAGTTTGCAATGTTGACTATCGTCGGCCACTCATTCGAATGCTTTATGGACTTCTTCATTTCAACTATATATCCACGACCTTTGTAATATCCCATTGCCAAGAATTTTCATTCATTATCAAACCTGAAACTTACTGTAAAGTTTCCTTAACAACAAGAGTAATTAGACTGAAGAAACCATGTCTGTCTGCATCACATTCAGTAATTTTGCAAAATTTGAACTACATATTTGGAAGCAGTTCCCTTCAGCCTACAAGAACAGATATAAATCCATCTTTAACTGGATATATACTTGCAGCCCAAGCGGAGCAAGAAATCCAAGTTATAATGCTGAAGAGATGAAAACAAACCAATTTCATCAAAATAAGCACCGTACCTGGGAAAAGAATTTAAGAGCATGACAGATTAAGGAAAAGGTAATAGGTGATGTTGGTGAAGTACAGACACCTTGGTGTATATTGTGCAATTTGAAGAATAACAATCCGATCAGCATCATACATGAGAACCCAAGACACCTAAAAAGTAGAAAAAAAAAAAAAAAAAACAATTTTTATCACCACATATGAACTTGAAAAGTCTAATGGGGAAAAACAAGAAACCAAATATAATCAAATATGATTTCAATAAACAAGAGAAAAAGTTATCTGGTTAAAAGGGACTCAATGGAGTTTTATTGTTTGCAGTAATCTATTTGTTGAAGAGATGATTAAGTATTAACTAGCATGTTAAATTGTTGAAAGCCATATTGTTTCATTGATGGCATAAGAGCAGAGAGAAACTGATAAACAATTTAGAACATGCAAACTACTCCTGGGGTGGCAATTAATCTTGGTACCTTGGAAGATTATGACACAGATGAAGAGAATTGTGATGATCATTGCAAAAACATTAGTCTTTGATGAAGACGCCTTATCAGCTCTCATTTTCTTTAAAGCCTTGATTCTTTCATACCTTGCATGCCTCAACCTTGAAAGCTGAGAAATTTCTCTAACCAACTTGATATCAGCTTCATTCAACGACGGGCCACCAGGAGGCCGCGGTGGTTTAGGAGGTTTCTTAGCGCCCTTCTTTGTCCTTTTTTCTCTCACATGATCATCCCCCACATTAATCATCTTTACACCCTCACCTGAAATGAATGATTTCTTGGTTCTATTATTATTCAATCCTTCACCTCTCATTACTGATTCATTTTGAAATGCAACCTCATCATCATCCCCATCCATAATTCCTTGGTTCGAAAGATGTCTAACATCATGTACCTTGATTTCATTTTCGTCGCTCGTGGTGTCACCACTTTCCAAATCAACAACTAAATCGCTTTCCCTTGAATCTATGTTATCCATTTCAACATGCCGAAATGTAGTCAAATCCCGTTCTCTAATATCATGAAGCATGATATATATGTTCAATCACTTTCTCTTGCATATGCTATACAATTTTTCAAGAAAAAGTGTTCAATATTTTCAATTTTGCCCATCAAATACTACCTGCTATAATTACTTTTCAGATTAAACCTCAATCCATCAGATAGATAAAAGGTCGGTCTTGATTTTCTAAGACATTCCTGCCAAGAAGCATCAAATATATATCACAAGAGAAATCATATTTTCTATTTTATATATAAAGCTTATCATAATTAATGAAGGTGAAGAGCCCTTGTATGATCTCAAGATCCAAAATTATCTTCAACAGAGAAAAGGGTATTAAATTCTCATCATTATGCATAGTAACAATTTTCATGAACATAATTCTACAAAACTATTGCATACCCTGTCATCATGAACCTGCCCCTCCCTTTTGCCCTGAAGAAAGCATAGGAAAACCAAAAGAAAAAAAAAATCAGAGGATCAAATGATCAAAGCAGCTAAGTAAATAGATGCATGCACAGGATTGAGGATCAAATGTAATCATTAACTTAATTTACGTACTTTTTTTTTTAAAGCAAGCAAACAATGGTACCTAACAAAATCATATGAATTGGTATGTACCTTTGGGAGAGAACGAGAGAGGGATCAGAGGGAGAGAAAAAGAGAGACCAGTAGAGCCAGAAGAGAATTTGGCTAAACGTGATATTTTTAGAATTTGTTACCGCAATCTTATCATTACTAAAGTATGATTATTTTCACTTCTTAGTAATGTTTTTTTTAACCATAAATACAAAGTACATTACAATGTGAATTGATATGGAGACAATGAATTTTTGTTTTGTTTTGTTTTTATTTTTTTGCATTTTCTCAATGTAAAATGATGAACCTGTAGACACTTGAACACTAAGTCTTGGGATATTCTAAGAGAGGAATTTGGAGAATGAAGATCAATTTATTGTTAGCCAACTTTCCTTGCTCATGCATGAATAGAGAAAGACACTGCAGATAAATAGAGAAAAGAGACTGCCAATGGGTAACTGATATCATGCCGGGCCCTTAATATTCCTAACATATACTATTACTGCACCAAACTCACGACTTCAAAAGGAGTACTCGGTGCTGGCCCAACTCTAAAGCCTGTCTTGCAACAAAGCCCAAGAATTGCAAGTAATTTAAATTATTGCTCTGACCCATATCTAGCTCTCCCCATTCCCCATTTTGGTTCTGAAAGTAATCCTCCTTGTTGTAATATTTGGGTTCTAATCAGGTATTGAACATTCTAATCCGATGATGCATGACCATTTGGAAAAAAATGAACAAGGAAAACAGGGAAAATTAACGTTATGCAAGGAGGCTGATTTATCCAGAGCCCTTATCCTATACGAAAGAAAAAAAAACAAAAAGGTGGTCAAAACTTGAAGCTTCTGCACAAGGATCATAATCCAAGCCACCAAGAATCCACGTGTGTGGGAAATGTCCCAATGGGAACCCAACAGATGCAAAGACGTCGAGACTTGAGGGTCAAACTTTTTGTCACAAGACAAGGAATCATAATTTAGGGCATTGTCTGCCTAGAAGTGTGAGGCCACGAGTGTCATTTATGGGGCCGCACAGCACCACACCCTTGACTCCACATGTGGGGCAAACAGCCAAGAAACCCCTTCCGCCCTTCCTGTTTGACATACATTTTGTCCTCTTCCCTTTGTTTTTTGCCTCCCCAACCCTATGTGTCCCTCTTTTGATGGGGCCTCCGTCCCTAATCCCTAAGGTGGCTGGACCTTTTGACAACTCAAAAGCGATTCCTTGTTTTGTCCATTACTGCCTTCTCGTTTATTAAAACTCTGCCCATGATTAAGTCAAGATTGAGCAAGGAATTTGGTTGAAGCAAGTTGTGTTTCAAGGCTAATCCAAGCCCAATTATGTGATGAAAGTTAGTGAATGAAGCCACTCAACCAAAAAAACTTTGCTATTAGTGAAGCTTTTTTCTAATTTATATACTATATTTTCTATAAATAAAACTCAAATATTCAAGATCTTATAAATATGATATATTTTGGATTTAATTACCCTTAAACTTTTTGAGTTTTTTGTGAGATTAATTTTGAATATTAACAGAAAAATGTTAGCCAACCGATTAAACTGAGATTTAAGGAGAACAGAAATTTGTAATTAACTATCCTTAATCAATTCGTCTGTAGGCCTTGTTAACTGGATGCATAATAGTGATAATAAGAAGGATTAAATGATGGCTGTGATTGGCTGCCATTCCTGGAGAATAATGCAGTGCTAGAACTAGAATATAGGCTGGTTGATCCAATGAAGCATCATCATTTGGTTGCCAACATGACAGTGGGTGAGACATGCATGGAGTAAACAATGTATGTCAAAATCAGGTACCACCAAGAAAGTGAGATGAGGCATGCCACGCTGGAACACGTGTCAGAACTTATAACAGGGAAAACAACCAGTCAGATAATGAAATTTCTCTGGCCACCTGGTCTCACTTTCAGCCCTTTGTTCATTTGTTTTGTTCAGATTATATTGGATTGGATCGAATTTGATTTTATTTCGAGATCTATCAAGTGCTGTCATCATTCATCTATCATCTATCATTTATGAGTTATTATGATGAAATATTGGAACCAAATTTCAGCATCTGCTAATCACAACGTTTTCAACCCAATGACGACTTACATTCATGTATATATGCATTCATGTAATTATCATCAAACTCTATTCAAAATTTATGACAAAGAGTTTTGATTAGTATCAATATTTGAAGAACTCAAGTTTTTAATCTATTTATTGATTTCCATATACATGTGAGGCTATGATTAGAACATTGTAAAACATCAAACATCAATTCCAATTTAATTTTGGAATTCAATGTGGTAGAGACCATTGATGGGGAGTCTTAAAGGTAAAAGGACAGTTTCAATTTTGACATCAGATATGGAAACCAAGAACAAGAAATTAACACTCCATGGTAAGATCAGAAAATAACTATGACATTAAATATGGTCACCTGCAAACTAGTGGGCCTCGTCAGGCTCCCATGCAAGTTAGGTCAGTATCATGTGCACCCACATATCAACAGCTTGAAGAAAAAATAAAAACCCAAAGCTAACATTTTAAGTTTTAGCCAATTGGAGAAAAGAAGTTTAGGGCTCCATTGACTGAGGTCAGGTTGCATCCCAATATCTGGTGAATAGAAAATCACCTCAATAAAGGTAATGTTGGACAAACTCGATCTCTTCCTCATACCTCAACAAGGAAGGGATCAAGGGGCATCATTTTCTTTTTGTGAACTAAACTAGCTGTTTTCAGTCCATGTTAATGTAAATGCATGCGTGGCCTGGCTGCTCACTGTCCCTTTTACCTAATTCAAACACTTTTCTTTTTTTAATTTTTTTTCCCTTGTTTTGGTCTGCCCAACTTACTCCTTTTTTTTTTTGTTCTAGATTTATGAAAAATTAGGACTGCTGACCTAAAGTTTATGCATAGTTTTCTACAATAAGAGAACCTTCATAGCAACTTGTTATATTGCTATTTTATGTGGTTTAGGGTTAGGGTTCCTACAATAAGATAATCTTAGTATGTAATGTATTATTGATGCTTCTTTTTCATCCTTTTTTTCTATCATGGATACTTATTTTTTATTTACTACTGAATTTCTTGCATTTCTTGATGCTAAGAACAATATTTTTTATTCATAAAAGATAAATTGATTTGAAAAATATTAATAACCGTATAATCTATTAATAAAATACTAAATTCTTAATTTTAATAAGTAAAATTCAATACTCGAATATATATATATATAGTAGAAAAAGAAAATTCAACAAATAAATCAATCAATCTGGAATTGGAGAGAACTTGGCACGCAACTTCCTCGAAAAGAAAATCATTAAGTATAAAGTAGGATTCAAACGTAAAATATTGATCTCCATTTTACCACATAAACATGAAAAATATATAGTGATTTAAGGATCTCTATTTGACCATTGAGAAAATGTCCTATAATTAGTTTGAAACTTTTTTTTTTTTTTGTGGTGAGGGGAAAAGATAGTAATTATTAAAGTAATTGGCACCGATTACTTGAGATAATTGTTTAAGACAAATGTAAGTTAGAGAAAGAAAAAGTAAGATTGGACAAGGTTGCATGCATTCACATTGTTGTTTAATGAAGGCACATGGTTGCATGTGAAAAAATGGTTAAAGCATGAGCCAATTAAAGCGTAAAAGATATTGTGATTTGTTGGACAAAAGAAATGTACAAAATCCCACAAAAGAACAAAGCAAAATGGTCCTTGATTTTTAACCACCTTATATGACCAGATTGCAATTGGGGGGCTCTCTCGAAAAGGCCAAAAACTTCTCTTGATAGTGTCTCAATCCCTCAATCAAACAGGCAGCTTGGCTTTCATGTCACCGCACGTGTTAGCTCCTAAATGGGAAAAATGGCACTCATTGGTGGGTAACCCTTCATTTTATTAAGTTCAATTCAAACCTTGTTTTAGAACATTGTGGAATGTGGAATTGTGGATGCAAATTTGAAAGGAATGCAATGCAATTTCAATTCTAAAGTTAAAGCTTGCTTCTTCTTTTTTTCTAGCTTTTGGCTCTGTTAAAAAAAAAAAACAAATAAAGATGGGCAAATCTTTCATTTCTTAAATGGCCATGTGAAGTTTTGAAGTCTTTCTTTCTTTTTTTTTTTTTTAAGGGTGTTCACGTGGCACATGCAAGCCATTTGAAGGGTGGGTCTAGGAGGTGGATGCACTTGAAAATGTAGGGCCATGGAAGCACATGTGCTGCGAAGGCTTGCTTCATCAATGGCACATGTTGTGACCTTGTTTTGCTCATAAACACCCCCCCCCCCAATTTGGCCTATGCTATGCAATTACAACACATAATTTTCTTATTGATTTTCTACTCTTTTGGGCTTACAAATATCTCTTACATTTAAAGTAACATGTGACAATCTTTGTCGCAAACTAGATTATTGGATTACCAAAATCTACATTCGCCTGACCCTTTTGCCGACACAAATTTAATTTTCCTTTTGCTTATTCCATATAATTAAACCAAATATAAGTGCCAAAGACGTGATTAATTAGGCATCAAAGAAAACTTTTTTTAGCTTGAAATGACTTGCATTTTGTTTCAATTCTGTTACTCCACTTTGCTCTTCTACAAAGTATTAAATCCCCAATCTTCCATTTTTTTTTTTTCAAATTGAAATCTTATTTATTTAGTTGACACGAATAATACCATTGAGTGTGACTATGTGACATAACTCTGTCACATTCAGACATGGACTCTAAAATTTAATTGAATAAAGCTAAATTCAAATAGTACAAATTAATTAAACTCTCTTGTTTATAATTACAACAATTTTTAACTAAAAATTTACTTTAACATTCGTTACAAAAATGCTCCATTGATTGGTTTTTAATTAAGTAATCTAATTAGCATGTAAAAAACTTTTGTCTGATGGAATTAAACACTAGCCGGCATCTTCTATTTCATTAATTAATTAATTAATTAAATGATGCTTAACAAAGCAATGAAGCAAAAGAATATTTAATAACAAAAGAAAAGAGAGAGAGCACAAAGAAGAAGAAGAAAAAGTCATGTATACAATAAAATACACAAATTTAAAAATTTCACTAAAAAACAAAGTTTCCAAAAAAAAAAAAATACTAATAAACACCTTTTTACGGATTTTTTTCTACGAGTTGACGTTAGAGCCAAGCCGATCAGCCGGCGGCTGCAATTCACCGCCACTGCTGCCGGCGAGATACTCGGTAATAGCCGTCATGGCTCGAACTTGCATCTCTAAAGCCGCTATGTAATCACTAGTTTCTTCCAGAAGGTTCGAGAAAGATAGTTTCCGGCAACCGGGGACAAGACGTCCCAAAACCATCAACTTCCTCTTGAAGACCGGCAATTTTCTCTTTTCTTTGTTAATCTTAGGCTTCCTCAACCTTCTATTGGCGTTGATGTTCGCTTTCTTATGTTTCCTCATCTTGGCGCCGGCACTGAGTCCACTGGTAAGAATCGCTCTGCTCCAGCGCGTCGTTCCCTTGGCCGAGATGGCGAGGACTCTGTCCGCAGTGCCACGAACTTCCTTGCCGGCAGCCGAAGAGGAGTTCCGACGAGAACGACGGAGAGCTTCGATAAGCTTGGTGGAGTAGATCTGTTGCTCTCGTTCGGTTTGCCATCGCTTGATTCTTTGGTTGCCTTGGTTGCGGTCAAAAGAACCTGGCCTTTTTTCCGTTTTCCTCCGTTTCTTCCGTTGAAACTCTGGTGACGTGTCAGGGTTGGGTTCGAGGTTTGGTATCAAAGAGGCCATCGAAAGTTGGAAACTTTGGAGTGATTGCAGAGGAGCCAGAAGAAAATGAGAGGAAAAAGAGAAGAAGAGAAAAGAAAGTGCTTTTATTTATCGTTTGGGAGGAGGGAGAGCGAGAAGGTAGAGAGAGAAAGGGAGAGGAGGGAAGGGATTCAGTTGGGAGGAGAGGAGGGTGGATGATTTATAAAAGCGATTCACGGGAAACAACACGCGGCCATGCCTTAATCACATTCATTCCTTTTGGACTTAACAAGCCTCCCAGGTTTCGTCTCTCTTTCTTTTATTATTTAATAATATAATTCTTGTAAGGGAAGAGGATCAACTCATATGAAAAGTACAAAATTTTTTAGATTTATATTTTTTTAATAATTGATTTTAATAAATTTTATAAATGAAAGATATAAATTAAAAATTAATTTTATTAATCGAATATTTTAAAATTAATAAATGAAAAAATATTAAATATAAAATTTTATATTAATATAAATTGATTTTTTTCTTTTTAGTATTACTAATTTTTATTTTTTTATTTTTTATTTAAAATCATTTGTTTTTTCGACCCTTGAATATGTATTTAATCTATTATTCGGTCATGCAATTTATAATTAATAGAATGTCTTAAAATTAAAAAAAAAAAAACAAGTTGAGCACTTTGTTTTTTAATAATTTAAAATTTTAGGATAATCGATCACTAAAGCTCATGCTTTTGCTTAGCTTTGTTTTTGTTATTTGATTTTTGTTTTTTTTGTAAAAAAAAAAGAAGATTATGTCTCCAGCAAAAAAAAAAAAAAGAAATCTAAAAACAAAAGGTAAAAGTATTTACACAATATAAACAGTTTTGTTTAAGTTGGAGAGCAAAATATCGTAAGTAAGTATTTTTTTTTTTTCTTTTCATATGGATTGTTTATTAATATATATGAAATAATAAATATATAATATTACTCACGTTTATCATATTTATGTCATTCAATTGTTGTTGAGACAACTTGGATGACAATCTAGCCAGCCACCCATTCGACTGGAAAAACATCGATTCTTTATATGCTAGTGGGCAACAAATTCATGAACCACACCAACCTTTTCTATTTCCCTTCACATAATTAAATTAATGAATAGGAAAAAAAAAAGCAAAGTTCCAAACACATCTACAATTGCTGAAAGTACAATTACATTTGGAGCAATTAGATTTTGACAGCAAAGGTTTTTGCAATGATCATGTTTGCTATAAAAACACAACTAGCGCAGAGGGTGGTGAACTGAAACTCAAACTCAAAACTGAAAGAAGACAATACTATTTTCTATGGGTGAAACAAGTGCAAAGTGTCAAATGCTACAGGATTTTGCTAACAAATCCCGCCCATGTGTTTCAGCATTTGCTTATTTGTGAAGGTGGGGAGGCCAAGCCACCCACCCACATGTATTGACTCGGCCTCTTCCAATTTCTAAATTATCCACAACAGTCAAACTCTAATGATTTATTTTAAACCAAAGTTTGCCGGTATTGTTTAATTTCTTCAATTTGCTCCATGTTCTTTATGGGAGTTTTTAAATGGAATGACTTGTTAGTTAGGAGGATTTGATGGCTTCACATTATTATGTTTTAGCAAAAGGGTTAAGAAAATTTTCAAATAAAAACTTAATAATTATTCAAAATTTTATTGATTTATTATAATTAATTAAATTTTTAAATATTTAATTTCATCAATTTAATCTTTATTAGATAAAAATTAATTAATTGTTAATTTTTATTTTTGTCAAATTAAGGACTCAATTAAAGTGAAAATAAATATTTAAAAATTTAACTGATCTGAAATAAAAAATTTAGAACTTGATTAATTGTAATAAAATATTAAATTTTAAATAATTATTAAATTTTTGTTTGAATACTTTTTTTACCCTTTTTGTCAATTTTTTTTTAAAAACATTATATATTATGTTATTCAAAAGTGTTAAGTTCAAGGTTAAATCCATACATATTTGGCATATTATATTTTGCATGAAGGATCGGTTTGCAGCTGCGGATATAGAAAAATTCTGGAAACATCATGAAATGACTATGCTCTCTTGATTAAATTGTTCCAAAGAGTCAAAACTAATTTGATAACTGATCATAAATTGAATTTGGATTAATTGCTAAATGATGACTTTGTTGGTCTAGAGGATTTAATGGAAATGACATTACTAATTATTGGATTAAAAATAAGATAATATAAAGCCAAAACCAAATTATAGACCTCATCCCACCTTAAATTAGAAGGTGATTACATCAGCCATGAGGGCATTCGATCAAGATTTATGGGATCATATAGGTGGCAGTAGTAGTGGACAACTTGCCAATTTAATTATTTTTTTAATAAAAAAAATATAACAAACAACAATGGAATTAACTTGGTCATGAATGTCAGGGTTTCATTAGCATGGGTCTCTCATATAATTTTTTATAGAAAGACCTCTATTTATTTCCATAATTTAACTTGCATTTTTTTTGTGTAATTATAAGATAATATGTTAATAGTCGTATAATCTATTAATAACATGTTGACCTTTTAATTGTAATAATTAAGATTCAATCTTTACTAATTTCATATATAAAAAATAATTAGAAGATATCGAGTCTACCTAAAAGTTTCCATTTTGGATTTATCTCTCCTAATCATATTTCACGGTGGTATTATAATTTGGTAATGACCTTTTACATTTCATTGATTAATTTGAAGTTAAAACTAGAAAATAATAAAAATAAAAAAACTAAGCAAAAGCTTTGCAAGCAACCAACACTAAATAAAAATCAATCCAACTCCAACAACAACCCAAATCAGAAAAGAAATGGTAATTTTTTTTAATTAGCAATAGCCAATATCTTTTAAGATAGCATGTTATATCAATCATCTTAACTTGCTTCTAAAGATAATAATAATTTAAAAAAAAAAAAAAAGGAGATCTAAGAGTAATTAGGTCAACTAAAATGGTTCAAAGCCCTGTTATACTTACAAACTAATAAATTATGAATAAGACCTTAGGATATAAATTAATTTGTTTGGTGTTTTAATGTTTTACATGGTACGTCAGGTGGTAGGTGAAATCATACTTTTCAAAATCTAACACAATTTAATTTAGGATTCATTTTAACTGTTGCCCCCTTATCTTTTAACCAAAAATTGTAGGACATCAATATTCAATGCCCCTGCCCATATTTCTTTTAAAATTTCATTCAATTCAGTAACATAAACATTTTAAATTCAATAGCATGAATTAAATATGTTATTTATTTGGTAATAAAATTAAAGAAAAGAAGAGACACGGAACAGTTTATCTCCTTATCTTGCAACACCAGTATGTTGCATTATTATAGTTGTTATTTTGCCTTGTTGGTGTTATTAAATCTATTAATTACTAGGAGGAGTGTTGGAGTTGGGCTTCCACCTATTGGCTTAGGTGTGGGGCTGATGGAATTTGTTTTTATTCTGAGCAATGATTAGTGGATGATGCACAAATAGAAAAAATGGTAATAAACAGAAGAGACGGCATGTGGTTGTTTTCATGGCACTTTCTTTCTCTTTCTCTCTCTCTTTTTTTTTTAATTTAGATCTAATAATCTTAAATATAATATAATATAAAATTTTAATAATATAATATAAAAATAATAAAAATAATATAATTTAAAATTTTAATAAAAACTATGAATCAAATTAATAAAATAAAAAAATATATTTTATATTTTTATATAAACATAAATTATAACATATAATTTTTATATAAAATATAATATAAATATATAAATTATTAATATTTTATATGATAAAAATATACTAATTATAATGTCTATCTTTATTTTATAGTTTTATTTATGAAGGCTTTTGCTCACCATCTTTTGTGGGTTGTGGACAGGATTGATCCACTTTGCCTGCTTCCTTCCTATGCACTAAAGGCTGCAATTTTTACATTTTTCTATTCGTTCTTATGTTAAGTCTTTTGATGCATTGTTTTCTTCTTCTTTTCTTGTTTTCATATCTCATAGCTGCTTTTGCCGGCAACTAAACCAATTGAACATGATTATTATAACTAAAAATCCGATGCTCTATACCAATAAATCACACCATTATTTAAAAACTTTAGTTATGAAGATTCATAAATAATGATGTGATTTTTTTAGACAAAGTTTATTCGCAAGAAAATTAATAGTTTTAAGTTCTCAATTTTTTTGGAAAGTTGGTGAATAATATAGCATAACCTAGTATAAATGTGATAATTTAATCTCATATTGAAATATTTTAAAAATCTGTTAAATATATAAATAAATATTTAAATTTAAATTTATGAAACATTTTTTATAAGATAAAAGTATAAAAATTTTTAATTAAAATAAATAATACATCATAAAATGAGTATGAATCTCTACCAATAGTATTAAAATAGTCACCAATCGAATAAGAATTAAGTGTTATACTGTGAGGGTTACTTCTAGAATCTTGTATAATTTAAATGTAACAGGTGAGAGTTACTTTTAAAATCTAAACGTTTAATGTGATATGTGATCTATGTGTATTTTGTGTTGTGCTTACCTATGTTCGATGTAATTCAATAAATTTATATATTTTTTGTTGAATTTGACGAAAAATTTTGTGATACTTTAATTTTACATCAAAAGATTATAAGAATTTGTTATAATATATAAATAAATATTTATATTTAAATTTGTGAGATATTTTTTTTAAGATAAAATTATAAGATTTTTAAATTAAAATAGATATTATCTCATAAATTGAGTATGAATTTTAATGATAAATTCAACTTTATTAGGTTATAAAAATAGTGTTTAACAGAGCAATTTCAAATAATTTGATTATGTTGAAGACAAGGAAAACTCAGCACGGGTTAATTGTATGCTAGCATATTTTATTGGTTGGAAAGAGAGAAAATCTGAAGAGAATCAGATGAGCCCCATTGCATATGACATGCCAGAGGGCCTGCCTCCTTGTACGAGACAAGCTAATTCAATGTCCCAAAAGGAAAAGTCAATCCAAATTTTTATATCATACTTACAACTTCATACGCTGCACATCGTTTGGAGATGTGGCTAAACCCTTTCACCACTCACCACGGTACAATTAACAACATTTAAATAATAAATCCTCAATCTTCCTTAGAGTTTGTTCTTTAAGAAGCAGATGTCGTAGCCTAAAAATTAATATTATGTGATTCTTTAATTTATTCTTACACAACTTA